AGAACTCTGCAGCCCGTGTCCTCTCCTGCACCTAACTCTGTGATCCCATCTCCCACCATTCTCTCCCAACTCCATTGGCTCCCTGTCCTTCAGAGGATCCAATTCAAAATCCCGGTCCTCACCTCCGAAGCCCTCCGAGGCTCGCCCCACACTACTCTGCAACCTCCTAACCCCCTACCAACCCGCCCGCTCCCTCCGCTCAACCAGCTCCAGCCTGCTCCATGTCTCCCGATCCACCCGCCCCACCATTGGCGGGAGAGGCTTCAGCCACTCTGCCCCCAACCTCTGGAAGTCCATCCCCCAATCACTCTGCCTCGCCCCCTCCTTAACCTCCTTCAAGTTGTACCCTCCTCTTTGACCATGCCATCAGCCATCCCTCTTCCCCTCCCTTCTCCCCCCCGATCCCAGCTCGGGTCTGAAATGCTGTACACTGTCCAGTGCCTTGGGACGTCCTCCCGACATGAAAGGCGCTATACAAATGTAATCTTGTTGTTGTTGTTTGTTCTTGTAGGGATGAGGACAGGGGTAAGGCTCAGTTGTCTCCAGCCTTCTACACGTCCCTCGTTCCCTCCGCTCCACCATTGGCAGCTGTGCTTTATAATGATAATAATCCTTGCATTTGATATAGCGCCTTATCAAATCAAACCTGGATCCTCTTGCTTGCAAGGCAAGTGCTCTAATCAGTGCATTACAGAACTTCAATTACTGGAACTTCCTCACTTTCTCTCCAATGCTACACATCTTCTCAACGGCTCTTGACTGCATCACATGGAATAACTATTGATACAAGAAGCCCTTTGCTTTTTACCTGAACTTGTAATCTGCCCTGTATCCGCTATAATATAGGGTGACCAAAACGTTCTGATACCATTACAATGTCTAACAAGTCTTAAGCAAACAATGGTATTTGTTTTTTTTTTAGATGATAGGGCAGATACCACAACTTTTTGGTCACCTTATACAACAACAACAACAACATGATATTTATAGAGCGCCGTTCATGTCGGGAGGACGTCCCAAAGCGTTGAACAGTCAGATGTCGGGGCCCGAGTGTGGGGGCAGAGAAGCTGAAAGTCTGTGGTCTGTAACTTAATGAATTGGCTTCACTAGTATAGCACTTGTACAGCACCTTTCATGTAGGGTAAACCTCACACAATGACGCAAGCAGGGAGCAAAGATGCGGGTATTTGAGAGAATTGACCAGAGACATGGTCAAAGAGAGAAGTTTCCAGACGTGTTTTGTAGGCAATGAGAGAATGTGAAGAGGTTTTGAAAGAGTTCATATCTGTGATGGTTTAATGGAACAACACTCTGAGGATAGAAATTCAAACTTGTGTTTTACATTTTCTCTATTAACAGAGCTTTTCAGAGAGTACAGAATTTGGTAAATCCTTAATTACATCCTTGATTCTGAAGCTGTATTTTTGTAAGTTTCATTTAAGAACCATGTGAAAAACGACTTCAAATTCAATACCGAATTCAACAATTTTCCACATTCTGGCCATTCAAAAATAGTATGTTAATAGAGTAAATGTAGACCCAGGTGAAATTTTATTCCAATGGTGTCCGTCTTCATGTTAGTTTACAAATTCTTAAATGCTGATTCCAGTGACATTACGATTCCCTGAGGGAGTTTTAAATCCTCGCCTGACTTTGCTTTGTACCTGGTTAGGATGCCAGAAAATGTCCTGTTGCATCTTAGAAACAGTGGATCTTTAATATCCACCAGCACCAAAGCATCAGTTTGATGTTTGAAATGCCAGCCTGATGTTTGGTGTCAGCCTGAATTGTGAACTCATGTCCTGCGTCAAAGGGCCATCTCTGACATGTCTATTCCTTGGGGAAACACCTGCCAAAAATATTCTCTGGTTGAGATTCACTTGCATTTTCAAGACCACGACCGCACCTCACCCATAATTGGGCCTTTACGGGAAGGATCACCATAACATTGTGATGTAGCTGCTGTGTGTTTATTTTTTTCATTGATGTTTCTCCACATCAGCGTGAGTTGGAAGTGGCCAAGGTTGGGAACTGTGTTGAGTAAGCTAAGGGCGTGGGGTGCAGGTGAATTTATCTATACCAGCCTCGATCAGGGCAACAGTCAGTGTTACAATCAGCCTCTGCACCGAGAGATAAGATCAGCAAGCGTTTGCCTTATCGCATCTTCGAGACAACCCAAATTGTTTCACAGGATATACAGTAAAGTGGTGCAATTGTATGTATTTTGTGGCTAAGTGTAAGTTTGTGCAGAAGTTTTGAATTTTTAAGTTACAGCTCGGTTTGGAAGCTGATAGATATCCTTAGTTCTTATAAACAACTTGCAAAAAGATCACTTCCAAATTAAGATTGCATCTAGGAACTTTCCAAACTTCCCCACAATCTTAAGGCGTACCTTTGATCTCTGGCCATAGATTACCACCTGGAAGGTGCAGGGCCCTAGGCTCTGGAACTCTACCCCCAGTGCCTTCGCCGCTTCCTCCCTTTCCTCCTTCAAGGCCGGTCTCAAGACCTTTCTCTTTGACCGTGCCTTCAGCTCCCCTCTCGACTCTTTACCCCCTCCTCGCTCCCTCCCTTCCCTCCCCCTGACCATTTCCCCCCTGCTCGGGTCCTGACCCAACTGTACAGGCCTTGGGATGTCCTTCCGGCGTGAAAGGCGCTCAATAAATGGAATCTTGTTGTTGTTGTTGCATGTGTGTGTTTGCATATGCTCTGGGATGCTGTCCTGCGTGAGGGGCGCTATATGAATGCAAGTTGTTGTCACATGCCTGTCGGGTAAGACATGTTGAGTTCGAAAGTACTGTTGGTAGTAGAATTAACCACTTTGTTGAAACCATCTTATTCTGTTTGCTGGAGTTTATATTTCAGGACCTGTGAACACAGGGACCAAAGTCACTTGTATTTTGTATTCAAAACTTGTTTATTTAATGAGGCAGGAAAGTTTCTTTAGTCCAATCAACATAATCACTATACTCAAGTTACTACTGACAATATTGGCTGTTATATTCACATATATTGCAATATTACTGTAATGACAATATCAAAGTTCCTACGTTCATAAACAGTAGGTGGAAATCTCAAGATCTCTTGTTTCTTGTGAACTTGAACTAGCGAGTCTTGTCTCTGGAACGCTGATAATAGCAGGCATCGAATTAGGGAAGCAAAAGTCCTTGTGTTTCAGCTGGATTCCTGTAGTGTCATTTTTCTTCTCTCTAACTTACTTTCTTCTGATATAACTGGAATCAATGGATCAGTCAAAATCAAATGTCCGAGCAACAAAGCAAGGGAAGCGAAAGATGCACTCACTCACTCTCATCACCTCAGTCTGAAGCCCAGGATGACCAATTCTGACTGACCAGAGTATGGCTTAGCTCTACCTCTTATCATTCATTGTCCCTTTGTAACACCCAAGATGGATGGTCCGTGTGTATCTGCACATCCTCACAAGTCCTCACCCACCTGACAGTGGTTCACGGCTGGTTTAAACAAGCCAGGACCGTCCTTGATTACGAAAGCCATGAGCTGATTTTGATTAAATCATTGCAGGATGTTACAGTAACAATTAATGAGAGAGCTGCAGGTGTGATAAACACACTTCTTCTGAACCAATTTAACTCTCCAAGTCACCGCATATCGTCACTTTCCCATAACAATTTATCTAAAGTTATACCAACTGCCCCATAACATACGTCACACTTGGACACAAACTCTACAGTTCAGCTGATTCTGATTAGGTTTATAGTGTCTACAAATTATTCCCATAGGGACAAACATTTGATAAACAACATTCACCTGATCAAACAACCAAGTTAATATCAAGATTAAATTAACTAACAAACATAAGTATTCCTAATTGAACTGAAATAATACTTTAAGCAAAAATATATTTCTGATTCCAACAGACAGGATTGTACTGTAATTCTCCATTGGTGAATAATTTGTTGACACTCACTGCCAAGGTTCTCACATAAATAATAGCCAGGGTATTAATGTGGAAGCAGGTGCCAAGATAAGGAAAAAGCTTGAAAACTTCTTTGAGAGAAAAGGGAGTAGGATTTGAAGAGAAAAAGAGGGCAGGAAAAAAAACATTGATTTATTGGCTGGAGTTCAAACTCTACAATCCAGTTTGTCGCTGGAAATGAGACTTCTGGGTTGCAATGTGTAAAATACCTCATCAAGCAATAATTTTTGTAATGCTTCATACAGCAGGAGTGTGCAGGATATCCACAAAGTCCCATTACCCCCCCACCTCTCTCTCTTCATCTCTCTACATTACACTGATCAACAACTGATACATGTGGAAGAATGGTGATCATTGTATTTAAAAGTTACTGGTAACAGACATTGTCACACGAAATTCATCTGCAACACAAAATAAAAATTCATTGTAAGGGGAAAAAAGTGAGGCGGGGGTGTAACAGGACTTTGTGGACACCCTGTACACATCCTTTCTCCACCTCCTCCTTTCTCTCCCCATGCCCCCCAAGGGCCCAAGCTCAGGATTATCCCTGAAAGACTTGAGGTGAAGTTAGACAGTAACTATTTGTGAATCGGAATCTGCAACCACCTCCTTACAGCTGGAGGATCAAACACCAACAACTTACTACTACAAATAATCCTTGCATTTGATATAGAGCTTGTTACAGTGTTGAGACGTCTCAAAGCGCATCACAGACTACTGTAAATTGGCTGTATATTTTGTGGACGAAAGGCGGCAGCTAATTGCACACAACAGTGTCCCACAAATGGTTGTAGATTGAGGGACCAAATTATTATTACAACCCTACGTGAGGAGAGTAAACCTGCGTTTATACAGCCCTCTTTACGTAGGGTAGTGTTTGGAGCACTGCACAGTGGTAGGGTTGGACGCTGAACAACGCTGATCAGGGAAGGGGGAGATAGAGAGGAGAGTAAGAGAGATAAGAAGCCTGAAAAGAACCAAGAGTTTAATGGTGTTTTTAAGAAGTAATAGTACTGAATGTTTCTGGTTTCCCCACCAACAGGGACTCCGCAAACCCAACCTAGAAGAAATCAAACATGCCAAAAATGGTGTTTTCAGCCCCTCCATGTTCGGCAGCTCCTTGGATGAGATCATGAACATACAGAAAGACCACGACCGGGAGCCAGAACTTCCCTGGGTACAGACTAAACTCTCCGAGCAGGTCCTGTCCCTCAATGGAGCACAGACTGAGGGCATCTTCAGGTAAGAGCCACAACCTCTAGCTGCACAGAGTAATGGGTGAGGCTGTAAAGTCATTCTCCTGTCCTTACTAGATGGCAAGTTTCACTAAATAATAATAATAATAATCCTTGCATTTGATATAGCACCTTATCATGTTGTTGAGTCGTTTCAACACACTTCACAGAATAAACTGTAAAGTGATTTTTTTTAAACATAAAATGATAATAATAATCTTTAAGTTTATCAGGAGGATGTCCCAAAGTGCTTCACAGGATATACTATAAAGTGCAGTGACTGTCTTTTGTGGCAAAATAATTTTCTTCTCTTTCTCTGCCCTATACTCCAAACACCGTCCTAAACCTACCCGATTCTCATCACTGTAATACTAATCTTGCATTTGTTGTAGAACTCTTATCACCTCGTTGAGACGTCTCAAGCTAAATAGGATATATTGTAAGTGTAGTGACTGTATTTTGGAGTTGAATGCAGCAGCCAGTTTGCACTCAACAATGTCTCACAAAAAAAAAAAGTGATTGATTAATTTTATTTGAGGGATTGTTGGCCTGGACACCGGGAGAAGCTTCCTTCTCTTTAACGTCCACCTGAACAAGCAAGTAGGAGCTCATCTGAAGGAGTCTTGAGGGTTTTGAAGGAGTTCTGAAGTGTATTGGTTAGAGCACTCGTCTCGCAAGTGAGAGGACCCAGGTTCGATTCCTGGGCAGATTATTATTGTTATTAAAGGACGGCACCTCCAACAATGCAGCATACCACCAGCACTGCAGTGAAGTGTCAACTTAGACTATATGGGTATGAGATACCAAAGTGAGCTGTCACCTTATAACTCTATGCCTCCACTGCATTGCTTGACAGTTTGCATGATCCCATCCACTACATAAAGCAATGCAATTTAACCTAATTGCTCACCTTCCCCATTACTGAGCACAAAGTCACCTTCCCCTTATGTTGCACTTAATGATTATCTTAAGCTTACTATTGGAGTCTAGTGTGTACCCTTTACAGTTTGGAATATAGTCACCCTTTATTCCCTTCTCCAGCAAACATCTCTGGTCTCTGCAGTCTCTCCAGGTATCAGGTACCTAGTCACAGGTAAAGGTTTGTTCATCTGTTGCGATACCTAGTGTTTTTCTTTTTAGATCCAGTTCTCCCAAGTGCCTAGAAATACACAATCACTACACTTGCCTATAATTAATTACCTGTGAAGAGACATTTCTATGGTTTCGGTATTATAAAAATGCAAGTATTATTGTAATATTCCCAAAACTAGGCCAGAGTGTTGCTAAGTGCAAGTAGTTATTATACTGGGGCAGTGCTTACTGTTTGGGAGCTTTTGGCCAGGCTCAAACTGGATTGAAAGGTGCATTCAGCACAAACATGATGTAGTGGGGAGGGGCAGTGTGGGGGCAGGGGCAGTGTGACTGAGGGTAATAATCTAACACTCCAGTCATGTGTTTGGATGCAACGCTCAAAGCTGCTTACAGCATCTTACTGCGCACTAACAACAACTCGCATTTGTATAGCCCCATTCACACGGAACAGCGTCTCAGAGCGCTTAACAGTGGCAGAGCCTGACGCCAAGGGGAGGGAGGAGGTGACCATAAGCACGATCGAAGAGGAAGGCCTTCAGTCATGATCTAAAAGAGGGAAGGAGGGGGCAAGTTGGAGGGATTGGGCAACAGTTCCAAAGCTTTGAGGCATAGTGGCTGAATGTGTGGCCGCTGATGGTGGAGAGGAGGGTATGAGGGACAAGAAGGAAACCAGAACCAGCCGAGCGGAGGCAGAGGATAGTGGATTGGGGAGAAAGCAGGTCAGAGAAGAAGGGATGTGCCAGGGCTTGAAGGGATTTGTAAGAGAGCATCTCACATTTTCAGAGGGATCTTCACATCGCCTGTTGGGCTTGAAACATTGTTCCTGCTGTTATCAGAGAGAAGCCACTGGTTTAATGGGGAGAGATGGTTAATTACAAGATGGATAGTGGGGAGCTGAGCTGCAGCTCACTGCTGAGAGGTTAGCGATGGGGCTGCTCGCTGATGAATGGATTTGAATAACATTAGCAGAGCCGCTGAGTGCTGTATGATCCATCTCTCTGCAGAGTCCCAGGGGATATCGATGAGGTCAACGCCCTCAAGCTTCAGGTGGATCAGTGGATTATCCCGGAAGGACTGACAGACCCCCATGTTCCAGGTAAAGCTCCCCGGTGCCTTTGCTGTCAAGCACAAGTGCAGTTGTGACACCTCAACCAAATGACTTTCCTCATGTGCATGGAAATTTCCTTTTATCTAGAGTGTGTGCTCTCTGCCCGGAGAATTGATCCGGCAAATTGAATCTTATCGAATCTGATTTAATCCCAGAGAATTTTATCTCAGGTTGGCAAGAGCCAAGGTTTGAAGACCTCACACTGGAAAGGGGATGGGGGTCATTGAAGCTATTAAAGAACTGTTCGGGTGCAATTGATTAAGAAGGTGATTCAAATGTGATACATAAACTGAGGATTGCCCCTTTCGGACTGGAAAACAATGAGACCACCTTCAGCTTAAAAGGATGCCATTGTTTGACATGTTTGTTCTCGTGAGTTTGTCAGCTTGCGAGCAGCGAGTGAAAGAGACTGTGGTTCGACTTGCGGTTGCTAGTGGGGATCATGCCAGTTTTCTGCCAGTCACAGGCAACGAACACATCACAACCAACTCACAGGAAGCTGCCATCCACAGGAAGTCCCATAAATTCATGCTGTTATCAGAGAGAAGCCATTGGTTTAATGGGGCGGAAGGTTAGTTACAAGATGGATAGTGGGGAGCTGAGCTGCAGCTCACTGCTGAGTGGTTAGCGATGAGGCTGTTCGCTGATGAATGGATTTGAATAACATTCACTTGGAGGATTCCCTGTTAATGACTGTATCCTGTGACAGAGGCTGCTTTTACTCTACAATCCTCTCGCCATTCTCATGCCCTTTCCCAAAATCAACCTCAGTAACAATCGCATGGTCATATTGCTGAGCTGTCTCTGATCTACACAGTTTCTATCAATCAGATTGTGTTAATAGATTTCTTAATTTCTTACTGAACTGTATAGAGCAGGAAACCCCCAGATTGAATCCACCGGTTGTTTTGATTGCTGGTGTAGAACAGGTTTAATGGACTGATCAACCCATGTTCCTCTGACCCAGACCTAGCCTGGCTCAGTCTCTATTCCAGAGAGGGAAAATAATCAGCCAGAGTTTCCACTCCAGCCTGAGCCTGTAACCCCATTTTGTCTTTAAAACTGTGCAACGTTGTGGAAAATTCTAACAATTCTTTAGGTTTCCGCAGCTCTTTNAAAAAAACACAGCTTCTCAATGAAACCAGAATTTTCCACAGTTCTGCTTCGTCTTAAATTTTACCAAAGGTATCATTTTGAGCGTTTGAGCTGCGTTGGATTTACACAACTACAATAACTTGCGTTTATACAACAATAACAACTTGTGTTTATATAGCGCCCTTCACGTGGGGTAACGTCCCAGAGCGCTTGGCAATGGTGGAGCACGATGCATAGAGGGGAGATGACCGTAGGTATGGTCGAAGAGGAAGATCTTCAGGCGCGATCTAAAGATGGGCAAGGAGGGGCTAAGGCGGAGGGAGGGGAAGGGTGTTTCAGAGCATAGTGGCTGAAAGTGCGGCCACCGGTGGTGGAACGGAGGCCATGAGGGACAAGCAGGAAAGTGTTTCTGGTGAGCACTGGATTGAACTTGGTTGTGGTTGGCATGAAGATCGTACATAAAGAATAGCCACTCAGAATAGCAAAGGGTTTGTTAGTTCTCGAAGCCTGGCATATATAGCCAGCGCCTTGAGGAGAGGGGAAGAGAGAGAAGTTTACCTTTGTAAGGAGAGATCACACTGTTACCAGCTGTGGATATATGGAAACACAGAGCCTTTTTATCTTGCAAAGTTAAAGGGACCGTTGAGCTGCTGGAGAGGAGAATGGGCTGTATGTTACTGTAGTGATTCTCTGCTGAAAACACTCTGTGTATAAAGGTTACGCCTCTAAACAAATGAAATGTAATCCACCTTTTGGCAGGCACCACCCCACGGGAGGTTGTTAGTGCAGGTGCACTTGCTGTTGGTTTTGAAGGCATTACACAACTGTACGGGTACAATTTATTAAGAAGGTGATTAAAATGAAGACTGTCTTGTGAATTAACTCTTTGAGCACCAGGGAAGATGTTTTCCAGCACTTCCCAGTCTGGAGTGTAGGACTGGAAAATCTTCTCTGCTTCCAGGCCTGATCCAGCACCAATTCAACAACAACAACAACAATTTGCATTTATACAGTGCCTTTCACATGAGGTCGTGTCCTGAAGCGTTTACATTGGCAGAGTCTGACCCTGAGTCAGGGAGAGGGGAAGGTGACTGTAAGCACAATCAAAAAGGAAGGTCTTTAGGTGGGATTTGAAAGTGGGGAGGGAGGGGGCAAGGCGGAGGGATTGAGGGAGAGAGTTCCAGAGTTTCGGGGCCTAGTGGCTGAAAGTGCAGCCACTGACGGTAGAATGGAGGGCACGAAGGACAAGCAGAAGGCTGGAGCCAGCCAAGTGGAGGCAACCGTTAGTGGTTTGGGGAGCAAGAAGGTGGGAGAGATAGGGGGTTACCATGGTGGAAGGGAATTGTAGGTGAGTGTAAAGATCTTGAAAACAATCCGTTCGATTATAGGGAGCCAATCGAGCCGGGCAAGAATCGGAGTAACGGGAGTTTAGTGTTGATGAGTATGTGGGCAACAGAGTTCTGGATTAAAGCATTGATTCTATAAGAAACTTTACACAACAGTTAGTTAACCTTTAAATGAATATGACTTCCCTTTGTGTCTGCCAGCATCACTACTGAAGTTGTGGTACAGGGAGCTGGAGGAGCCTCTCATCCCACACGAGTTTTACGAGCAGTGCATCACGCATTACGAGAACCCAGAAGCAGCAGTCGCAGTTGTCGATTCCCTGCCCAAACTAAACCGTTTGGTGCTGTGTTACCTCATCCGCTTTCTACAGGTAAAAAGGGGTCATCTCTTTGTGGCTGGGGGGTGGGTGGGGTGGGCAGGAGATTATTATTATTATAAGGAATGTGACTCGGGATGTGATAATTACCACAAAAAACTAAATGTGGTTAATAATAATACTTGGATTTGATATAGCACCCTATCACGTTTTTGAATTGTCTCAAAGCGCTTCACAGGATATACTGTAAAGTGAATTGACTGTAGGTTTTGTGGGTGAAACAAGGCAGCTAATTGCGCACAGCAGTGGCCCACAAACGGCCATTAAAACTGTCGCCCCAATCTCGACCTTTCGAGGTTCTGGTGCCAGGCGAGGGCACTGAAGCATGACCTCGGTGCGCGGATCCAGGTGCCTTTTGAGGATATCGACGTTCAGATCTCTCCCTTTTGTCTCAGTTGTGGACATGTACCCACTCAGGAAGAGCCTTGTTGCCACCCTCTGACCCAGGTTTTTGCTGAGAGCTCCCCCACCCCACGTCCAGAAAGATAAGGTCTCTTAACTGGTAGGTTCTCCCACGAAGAAACTCAGGATCTCTTCTGACATCCAAATGAGCAGGAATGTAGAGTAAAAATACCCACCACACCTCCATTATAATGGAGTCCTGTAGTGTAGTGGTTAGAGCACTCGTCTCGCAAGCGAGAGGACCTGGGTTTGATTCCTGGGCGAAACGATCAGGCAAGTTTCCTTACTCCACACCCCTCTTGTTTACCTAGCAGTAAATAGGAACCCAGTTGTTAGTCGATTGGCAGATCACATTTCTGGGTAATCGCTTATTACCCTTCAAAAATAATAATAATAAACAAGTGATAAGTGATGAGGTGCTAAATCAAAGGCAAGGATTATTGTTATTATTATGTGGTTTGGGTCCAACTGTAATAGTTATTGCCAGTGTTAATCATCACATCAAAATCTTAAACTGTCCTGCCAGTGTGTGAAGGAAGCATTTATTAAGGAAAGGTGAAAGGAATATTGGACTTTATCTCAAAGGGCCTGGAAAACAAAGGGGAAGAAATGCTGCTTCAGCTGTATAGAGCGTTAGTCAGACCCCATCTGGAGACTGCATTCAGTTTTGGGCACCACACCTCAGGAAAGATATATTTTGCCCCTGGAGAGGGTGCAGCGCAGGTTCACCAGAATGTTACCAGGCCTAAAAGGGTTAAGTTACAAGCAAAGGCTGCGTAAACTTGGATTGTATTCCCTTGAGTTTTGGAGGTTGAGGTTGGATTGAGGTATTAAAAATGATAAAGGGATTTGATAGGATAGATACAGAGAAGCTATTTCCTCTGGTGGGGGAATCCAAAACCAGGGCCATAGTCTTAAAATTATAACCAGGCCATTTAAGAGTGAAATCAGGAAGCATTTTTTACACTAAAAGGATGGTAGAAATCTGGAATTCTCTACCCCAAACGGCCGTAGATGCTGGATCCATCCACACCTTCAAGAGTGAAGTTGATAGATTGTTGGTAGGTCAGGGTATTAAGGGATATGGGGAGAAAGTGGGAAATTACAAATTGAAAGGATTAGTTGAGGTAAAGATCAGCCACGATCTAATTAAATGGCGGAACAGGCTCGAAGGGCTGAATGGCCTCCTCCTGTTCCTATCTAAATAATCTTCATTTCTTTTCTCTCCCCTACCTTCCCCTCTGTGTTAGATTTTTGCCCAGCCTGCCAATGTGGCGGTTACCAAGATGGATGTCAATAACCTGGCGATGGTCATGGCCCCAAACTGCCTGCGGTGTCAATCCGACGACCCCAGGGTCATCTTCGAAAACACCCGCAAAGAAATGTCCTTCATCCGAGTGCTCATCCAGCACCTGGACACCAGCTTCATGGAAGATCTCCTATAGCGAGAAGTCTAACAAGCGAGAATGAGAGAGAAATCTTGTATAAAATGTAATCGCTTGTGTCCCCACACACACTTGTTTATACCACATTTAGATTTACTGCCAGTCTCCCTGCTGGCTGCGGTTATCGACGTTATAAAAAAGAGAGAGAGAGAAAGAGAGAAGGGAAAAATAGAAAAAAATTCTATGTAAATTCTGAACCTTGTTTGAATGCTGCTTTGTTGATCGGCTCAGTATGACGCTCCCATCTCCAGATGACAACACCCCTGTCTGTCGCCAACATTACAAACAGCTCATTTCTTAGTTTAGCATCCGCACTTGTTTTTTTTTAAAAACCACTTGATAAAGTAACTTTATTTTTATAGCATTTAATTATACAGGGCTTTTTAAAAAAAAACACCACATCTTTTCTGTGGCAAATATGCTCTTCAGGTTTCGTTCTCTCTCACACCCTACTTTTCATTCATTCCCTTTTTCACGTGTTTTGCTGTGAATATTTTTCCAAAAAAAAAACAAAGAGTATTATCAATTTATTTGAATTTTTGCGTGTGAAGAGAATATGCTAGTGGTTGGTTTTTGTATTGATTTTTTTTTCTCCCCCAACCCTTTTTTTATGTGTATATAAATGTCTGTGACTTTTTAAACCTATTTCCACGTTGGGTTCGAGGCAGTATTGGTGCTAAAGTCTCGATAGCCTGGAGGCCGGTATTCAATTCCTGCCCCAGCAGAGTGGAGCTTTCAAGGTCAGTCAGTCAGTCTGTATAATTCATTTTCTACATCTATCTATATATATATATATAAAATAAGCACATGCGTTCTTTTTGAAACGGAAATTTGCTTAAATGAATAGTTAAGGAACAAAACTTGGATCCATTCCCAAGAAAAGCAGCTATGCTGTGATCTGACTGTGTCTATCACACTGAGAAGTTGCCTTTGTTTCCCTCTGTGCGTGGCGCAAAAATGGGGGCAATTTATGAAAAGCACATGGGGTTTGGGGACAATGCTTTCCTACATAGCTTTCGTGAGGAAGCTCTCTTCCCCCCCTCCCCCCCCCCCCCCCAAACATATACACGCCCCACACTTGCTGGGAGAATGGATAGCCCCCGAGGCTAGACCTAGGCTGCGTGAGGTCTTTTTATCTTCAAACTCGATTTGCCTCAGATCTGTGGAAACTTCCTGAATTCATTTGCCATTTTGGAAGCTGGTTTTGCTGTTAAAGATTGTTGGGGCAAAAATGGCTTCCAGATTGAGAACAAATTTAAGAATTTTCCCACAATTCTGAGGCGACTCGTGTTTTAAGGCAAAAAGGCTTCGCAGCCGAGGTGGAAGTTTTAAGATTTTAAAATTCAACTTTTAAGACTTAAAAATTCAGTTTGAAAATAAAATAGTCTCCCAGGTTAAGAGCGATTGAATTTCAAGTATGGAATAAGCACTGGGATCCCAGCCTGGTACTAGGAGTCTCCTATGAGGTGGGGTGGGGAAGAGTAACATTGGAGGCTGTTGGTGCACGAGAGAGAGAGTGCCGTTCTATTATACTACCTGTCTGCTTTTTGCCGTTGTATGCTGCGCAGTGTGTTTGATGGCCAGTGTGTCTGTGAGCACGAGTAGTGTGTAATTATCCTCATTGTAAATCCCATGCAATGTTAGGCCTGAAATTCCTTAAACCACTGTCCGATAAATAGCGATTGAGGGGGCGGCCCTGATGGTGTACATAAGAACATAATAAAGAAGACCACGGTCCATCCAGTGTCACCTTCCACCAACCTGGCAGTCGCATCCACATGTCATGTCCCAAACTATATACTGTATGTATCCCAAGATATTATTTCCTGACAGAAATCTATCTATTTCGTTCAAGGGAGCCTGTTCCATACGCTTACCACTTCTGACGCTCCTTGAAGTAGTGTCTCCGCACATTTGTTCTGAATTTACCCCCTCCAATTGCTGGCCGTGTCCTCTGGTTCTGCTGTTCATTACAAGAATAAACATTAACTAATCCCTTTAGAATCTTAAAGATTGTAATCGTATTGCCCTCAACCTTCCTTTCTCCAGTGTAGTGGACAGAGCCGCAGCTTATAGACCAGGAGCTCACTGGGTCAAATTCCAATTTATGCTGAGTTTGCTGAGTTGGGTGGGTTTGGGTTGGGAGGATAAATTGGCCCCTGCCTATCCAGGGTTAAGCAGGGTGGACAGCACCCTCTCCTTATTGTACGTGCGCATGTGTGTGTGAGTGACAGCCGGGTGAGGTGAGTTGTGACACCCGCTACAGTCAAGTGACCTGCCTCCACTCACTGCCCAGACTCACGCTGGACAATGGCCAGACCAGGGGCAGAGAGAGCGAGGCCAGACCAGGGGCAGAGAGAGAGAGGCCAGACCAGGGGCAGAGAGAGCGTAGGGGCAGAGAGGCCTATTCCAGTGGGGAGAGAATTAGAAAATAATTGGACACCAAATTTATTTTTAGATAATTAGATTGGACAGAAAATTGGAATATCCTCCGGTTGTCTTTTTTCTAGAAGCTATTTTTCCTTTCAAGACAATTGGAAAAATGAGACACCCCCCACCCCCCCCCCCCATGCCAGCCTGTGCCCTCACTGTAGCGGTTTAAAGTATTTATGTGGATAAAATCCGGGGAGAAGGTACGTGTGGTTCAGTTCCGCTTGATTATAATTACAAAGTACAATATTAGTGTCAAGCAGCCCTGCTGAGTTTCTGAATTGTTGGGTGTCTTTAATCGTCAGAACCTCTTGACAACTCAAGGATATATCGAGCAGTGATAGGCGTGCAGCATGGAGTGGAGTGGCAGTCACTGCTGTGCGGGTGCGATCACTAACATTCGCTCTGTGCTTTGCATCCACTGTGTATTTGACAGCAGTTTCTATAGAAAGCGAAGGGCAAATGTTTTACTCAACCCACTGAACTGTCCAATCTCACAGGGTGGCCCGGCAGCAGATAGATTGACGTGACAGGCAATGGAACTGGCAGTGACCTGGTGAGGAATCCGGGCTTGTTTTTTTGGCTGATGAGACTCTCACAACAATCTGTTTAATGTTACAGAAATTTCAGCAGAACAGGCCACTCGGCCCCTCATATCTGTGCTGGTGCTCGCTCCCCCACTGGAGCTCTCTACTCTAAACCCATTCCCTGTTATTCCCCAACGTGTTTGTGCTGGTGTCATCCTTCCAGAATAACAACAATTTGTGTTTATATATAATACAAATTTACATTTACTTATCGCTTTTCACATCAGGAGATGCAGGATAGGGTCTCAATGAGCTGGAACCACTTTGTCATCTTCCTGTTATAGCGTTGAGCTGTTTCTGAGTATGGGCTACAGTCATGCTTTTTGGTGCCTTGTTCCAGCTATTAATAATAATAATAATTAATCATCCTGTTAAGAAATACTTGCTGATGTCTTTCCTGAAATTGCCCTTCTGGACCTCTCCCCCACCCTTTGGAACTCCATCTCTCCTTCCCTTCACCTCACCCCCTCCCCTCTCTTGCCTCCTTCAAGGCCTGTCTTAAAACCCTCCTCTTCGACCGTGCCTTCTGTCACCCTCCTACTCCTACTCCTCCCCTCCCTGCCCTCCACCCCTCCTGATCCCAACTCCCAGCTCGGGTCCAAATCCCTGACTGTCCAGCACCTTGGGACATTATCCCGACGTGAAAGGTGCTGTGTACATGTAATTTGTTGTTGTTGGATCTTTTGATGGCTATTCTGCTGCGGCAACTCAACAGTCACCTTCCGCACCATTTCAGATCGCCTTTTTCTTGATTTCATTCAGATTTTGTATATAGACCGAACACAGGGGCCGTGATTGAATGTTTGGGGAAAAGTCCCATTTATTTCCTGGTGATACATGGGGTGAAAGGAGAGCAGTCAAATTGCATAATGCAACGTGACTGCAGGGTCTTGGACTGAACTTTTCATCTCTTCTGCTTCACAATAAGATGCTATATTGAATGTACAGGAAAGAAATGTAAATGTTAGGGGCTGTAACTCATTGTCCAGATTGTGCGAGCGCACGTGTGTGTGCGGGTGTGTATGTGCGCACGTGCGCGGGTGTGTTTAGTGCCTGACACAGTATTGCCTGTTATTTGCCGGGTGTATTATTTTGTGTTACTTCCCCCCCTTTATTTAGTAGGCGGTGCACTGATGATAGAGAGCGCAGACAGGGAGTGTTGGAGTGGACTTGTTTCTCACTGCTGGTACATGCGTTGAGTGTTTTTACTATGTTCATCGCCCCTTTGGCTTTTACGGTTCAAACTGTGGGGGGGGAGAGAGGAAAATCCAATCTCACACGGAACTTGTCTGCATGCAGAGAGAGCTTTTTACAAGACTCGGGTGATATACGGACCTTTGTAAATTCTGCTGTTTTGTTGTAAACTTTCTCCGATTTTATATGTTGATTTTAAGAATCGAGGTTTTATTATTTATTCTGCCACGCGATGCAGTGGCGGGTTTGGACGGGAGCCGGAGTTTACAGAGGAGAGACGGGCCTTTATGAAGGCGGGGATATGAAGGTTTGGGTGGACGGTGGAGACCTGGGCTCAGGGCAAGGTGTCTAGAGCCAGCGTCAATGCTGCAGATTGAAGGCTGAAGAGATGAAATGGTGCGTTACCTTAGCCTGAACTCTCCTGTAATTATAAAGCATGGATATGTAGAGGCTCCATGTTTGTGAATAATGAATAAACAAGTTATGAAAAAGTCCTTGCTTGGCTCGTTTGTGGATCTCATCACGGCTTTGTTCCTGCTCACTTATAGATTGTTTCCCATCTACCCCCACCGCCTTGGGGGAGGGCAAGACTGAGATAGGAAATTCATCACAACCTTGGCCCTACCCCACGGCTCCTGGTGTATTATCATGGGCATTATAAGGGGAGTATTGTATTGATTAGAGCACTCGCCTTACAAGCGAGGGGACCCGAGTTTGATTCCCGGGCGGGGCGAAACCTTAGGCAAGTTTCCTTACTCCACACGGCTCTGTTTATCTCGCAGTAAGTAGAAACCCGCCAATGTTAGTCGATTGGCGGATCACTTTCTGGGGGAATAATCCCTCAAAAAAATAATAATAATAATTTGGTCATTCAATCCACAACTGTTTGTGGGACACTGCTGTGAGCAATTACCTCTGCTTTTCGCTCGCAAAATATACAGTCAATTCACTTTACAGTACTGTATATTCTGTGCAGCGCTTCGAGACATCTGAACCGTCCCTGTCCTTTAGGGTTGTGCTGTCTCTATCTACGGGGAGAGCGGCGCAGGTCCACAGGACATCCGTTATCCACAGGACACTGAGCGCTTAACGTGACACCCGCTGTTCCCTCTCCCCTTTATACGAGACGTGGGCATGTGTTTGGGACACCGGTTGCACATCAAGAGTCCCTCCTCCGCATTACAGAGTCGCCGGCATTGACGGATGTCGCTCCCGAAACAGTATCGACTGCTCTCCGCGCGTCCCGGGAGCGACCGCCGTCCAACCCGTCCGCGCGGCCCCTTTCGTGTTTGTTTAAAAAAATGATTATTTGTCGTGTTTATAAATACGCTATTGTTGTGGGTGTTTCGCCGCCTTTGCAGCGCAGAGGGGACTCGTGATGTCAATTCACTCAGCGGTATGTCCTGCGAAGCGCTTTGGGGCGTCGCAAATGCAGCGATTTTTCATTATTATTGACTGTAGTATTTGACATTTATAAATATATTTGATGTATTGTCAAACGCAATCATTATTATTGTAAACCAGTGAAGCGGCGCAGCGCAGAGCAGCGGAGCCCCGGGTGAAGGGCGCGGTATGAATGCGAGTTGTTGTTGTTGTTGTTGTTGTGGGGGGTGTGGGGTCCCCCTCGAGCAGAGGCGCCCCTTCGCGGTGAGGTGAGGAATTGCAGTTACATTGACACAGCGACGGAAGAGGAGGAGCGGTGACGGGACCCCTCAATGTGGCCGGAACCGAGTTGAGCGGAAGTTGTGTTCCGGCGGAGCGGTTCCCCCGCGGACCCCGGACCCGGACCCGCGATGCCGCTCCTCCTCCGGTCTGTCCTGAGCCGCGGCCTCAGCCTCAGCCTCAGCCGCCGAGTGAGTTACACACAGGGCCAGAGCCCCGCGCCCCGCGTCAGGGAGTACTTCTACTACATCGACCATCAGGGCCAGGTAAACACCCGGTAAATACCCGGTAATAACCCGGCCACTAACCTGGTAAATACCCGGTCACTAACCCGGTAAACACCCGGTAATAACCCGGCCACCAACCTGGTAAACACCCGGTAAATACCCGGTAAATACCCGGCCACCAACCTGGTAAACACCCGGTAAACACCCGGCCACCAACCTGGTAAACACCCGGTAATAACCCGGCCACCAACCTGGTAAACACCCGATAAACACCCGGCCACAAACCTGATAAACACCCGGTAAACACCCGGCCACCAACCTGGTAAACACCCGGTAAATACCCGGCCACCAACCTGGTAAACACCTGGTAAACACCCGGTAAATACCCGGCCACCATCCTGGTAAACATCCGGTAAACACCCGGTAAATACCCGGCCACCAACCTGGTAAACACCCGGTAAATACCCGGTAATAACCCGGCCACCAACCTGGTAAACACCCGGTAAAAACCCGGCCGCGTTTCGCCCACAAATATACAGTCAAGTCACTATACAGTCTATTCTGTGAAGCGCTTTGAGACGTCGAGAAGACGTGATAAGCGCTATATCCAATGTAGGGATTAAACACCCGAGACAACACCTGGTAAATACTGTTAAACTTCTGGAATAAATACCCGGTGTAACACCCGTCAACAACAACATGTTTACACACTGTCTCCGCGCTGGATACCGAGCCGGGCAGAGAGAGAGAGAGAGAGGGGGGAACCTGATTACATCCCGGTTAATAATAATAATAATAATAATAATAATCCTTGCATTTGATATAGTGCTTTTCACGCCTTCGAGACGTCTCAAAGCGCTTCACAGAACACACTGTAATGTGAATTGACTGTATGTTTGTGGGCGAACGCGGCAGCCAATCGCGCACAGAGTGTCCCACAAACAGTCGTGGGTTGAGAAAATGACCATTTTTTTATATTTAAGTTTAGTGAGAACACATAGTTCTCCAGCGGAGTGGACTACAGCTTTTGATCTGTTCATCGACAAACTCCGCTGTTTGAATTTAAAAATGTTTGTTCAGAAATAACAATCCCTCAGTGAGTAAGAAGCAGAAGGAGCTCTCGCCTCGCACGCGAGAGACTTGGGTTCGATTCCCGGGCAGGCGCAACCGTGGGCAAGTTTCCTTACTCCGCAGCCTCTGCTTACCAGCAGTAAGTAGGAACCCGGTTGTTAGTCGATTAGTAGATCGTTTTTCCAGGGATAATAATCCTTACAAAAAAAATAATAATTTGGTCACTCAATCCACGACTGTTTGTGGGACACTGCTGTGTGCAATTGGCTGCCGCGTTTCGCCCACAAATATACAGTCAATTCACTTTACAGTCTATTCTGCGAAGCGCTTTGAGACGTCGAGAAGATGTCAGAAACGTTTTATCAAATGCAACGATTATTATTATAAGTACCTGTTGATCACCTGATAAGTATCCAGTTAATCAGCACCTGGTTAATACATAATGAATATTGTAAATAACTGGTAAATACCCAATAGAATCTGGGTAAATAACTTGTAAACACCGGGTAAATGAATGGTAAGTAAAACTATAAATGCAAAATAAACTTAATGATCAAGTAACAAAAAATACAGTAAATATACAGTAAATGCCCGATAAACAACTACACTGGTAAATGCCGACAAAACATCTGATAAACACACAGTGTAAACCTCCCGGGGAATAAGTTTTAAATATTGGGGAAATGCTTGATAAGTCCTGAAAATGGGGTAAATACCCATTGTACATAAAAACCGGGCAAATGTGCAATTAACACCTGGTAAAAATCAGAGTAAATACTCAAGGAATACCGGGAAATAAGGGTACACACTCAGTAAACGGTAAGTACCAGGAAAAACACTTGGTAAATTCTGAGGAAATATGCAGCAATAATCTGGTAAATACCTGTCTGTGAAATACCGGGTAAAATGTCCTTTAAAAGTAAACAGCCGCTTGCGCCAGCGTTTGTATGTTAATTATTTGTTGTGTTTTTTTCAGCTTTTTCTCGATGATACAAAAGTCAAAAATTTCATCACCTGCTTTAAAGGTAAACACAGAGCTGAGTGCAAACCCCCCCCCCCCCCCCCCCCTTCCCCGCCGTTCAGATCGCCCGCTCTGCCCCCACTGTGCTCACACCCTCCACAACCCTCCCGCAACATTCGGCCTCCCCACCCTGCCCCCACCGTACTCACCCCCGCTTCCCTCGTTCACCCCCATCGTTCCCCCCCCCACCCCCACCCCCACACCCCTCTTCTCAACACACCCCTCACACCCTGCTCACCCCTCCTCCCATCGTCCTTATCCCCCATTCACACACCCATCCCCCGCCGTCTGCCCCTGCCATACACGCCCCCCCACCACCCCTCACCCCCCAGCTTCATTTGCCAGTTCTCTGACCACGTGCGGTGAATCTCTATCGAGCTCTCTGTAACCTTGGGACGTCTTCCCGATGTGAAGGACGCTATTGGTTTTGAGATAAACGGGTTTTTCGGGGTGACCTGTTCCAGCTAATCCCGGTCTTTGTCTCTGTTATTGTGATTTAACGACCAGGGCGTTTCTGAATAGTTTCTGAAGGTGTTTCTCTAGTCTTTTTATAATAACAATCCTTGCATTTGATGCAGAGCCTTACCAGGTCTTCGAGACGTCTCAAAGCGCTTCACAATATAAAGTGAATAGACTGTATGTTTCACTGTAAAGTGAATAGACTGTATGTTTTGTGGGCGAAAAGCGGCAGCCAATTGCGCACGGTAGCGTCCCACAAACAGTCGTGGTTCGAATGACCCAATAATTATTTTTTTATTTCACAGACAAACAGTTCCTGGTTTTCTTCTTCAAGCAGTTGAGGAGGAACGTCACGAGTCGCTACCCGGAGTTCCCCTACGTCTCGCTGTGCGGGAGGGAGCGCAACTTTGTGCGCTGCGATGACCTGCCCATCGTCTTCACTCACCTGCTGGCGTCCGAGCCCGAGCTGCTGTCCTACTGCGGGGGTGGAGAACACCTGGCCATCCCTTTCCAGCCCCAGAAGCTTTACATGCCAGAGAACGGCCGCCTGTACCACCCCGCTCCCCCCAGGTCAGGCCCTGTTGGTCTCGTCAAGTCCTCGCTGGCCTTCGAGCTGAGCCCCCACTTCGAGTACGAGGGGGGTGGTCCCGAGAGCGGACCACCCACTTACTTCCACTGGAAGGGCCAGCGATACCACCTGACCAATGAGCTCGCTCAGTACATCCCCGCAGTCACAGAGAAGGAACCACTGGGATAACTCCAGCTCCGTCCTTTCTCAGTTACACACTGGTCACAGCCACTGGCTGATCCTCTGGAATAATATCATCTGCAAATAATATACTGAGATATATAGATATATATATATATATAGATATATACAGTGCCTGTTCACATGGCCATTAAACTGAGGTCCTGACTCTGTCTGTCTAGGTGGATGTTAAAGACCTTGCGGAGTCCTTGTGGAATCCTGTAACGTGTTGGTTAGAGCGCTCTCGCCTCGTAAACGAGAGGAGCCGGGTTCGATTCCCGGCCAGGGCGAAATCTTAGGCAAGTTTCCTTATTCCACACACACCTGTTTACCAGCAGTAAGTAGGAACTTGCACTTTTGTTAGTCGATTGGCGGATCGTTTTCTGGGGGAAATAATCCCTTCCAAAAAATAAAATAATAATTTGGTCGCTCAATCCACAAGTGTTTGTGGGACACTGCTGTGCGCAATTGGCTGCCGTCTTTCACCTACTTTACTGTATATTCTGTGAAGCGCTTTGAGACGTCTCAATGACGTGATAAGGCGCTATATCAAATGCAAGGATTATTATTACTGTTCGAAACGAGAATGGAGTTTCTCCCAGCGTCCTGGTCAACAAACCCCCAGATAAAATTGGTCAGGGCTGTTTGTGGGACGTTGCCACGTGCAAATTGGCTGCCGCTTTTGCCCATATAATGCACAGTCAGCACACTTTACAGTAAAATCCTGTGAAGCACTTTGAGATGCCTCAGTGATGTGATAAGACACTGTATAAAATTGTAAGAATTATAATTATTATTTGTAATTATTTTTGTAATTTTATTAAAATAAAGTAAGTTTCTCCAGGAGTGTTAGCCACCCTGCATCTCCGAAAGGTCACTCTCTTCGTGGCTGTTTTGAGGGACATTGCTGTGCTCATTTATTACTTAGCAACTTGCATTCACAGAATACCATTCGTGTAAAGTCTCGCAGCACTTTACACAGTGCTGTCAGAGCAACGATTTCCCAATTACTGCCAGAGGAGACTGCTGGTGTTTGCCTCCTGTAACAGATTCTGATGCAATACGGTGGTGTGATCAATAGTAAGTTTACTGGCAATAAAGCAAACAGCAAGTAATATTCAACTGCTGGACAATAGATAAAAAAGAAATCCATGTCACCTGATCCCTCTGGGGAGGAGAGCTGGCCCTCGAAGTCAGACGACTTCAACTATCACCAAGTTGCATCCTTCATGTGTTTTTATCTGTTTCCCTTCCCTGATCTGATACACAAACTCTAGTTTTTTCCTCTGAGAAAATGGAACTGGAGCCCCTTCATCCTCAAGCAGCCGATGGCTTTATAATATAATAATAATAATCCTTTCCTTGCATTTGATACAGCGCCTTATCACGTCTGCGAGACGTCTCAAAGCGCTTCACAGGATATACTGTAAAGTGAATTGACTATATCTGTGAGCGAAACGCGGCAGCCGATTGCGCACAGCAGTTTTCTCAATTGCTTTGAGCAGACACGAGAAAAGAATCACCACCTCCTTCACTTATCCTGTCGGAGCTGCTTTCTCCTCCCTATCTCAGTATTTCTAAATCAATTCAAGGCCATGTTTTTGAGGCCTTGTGATCAGGAAGCCGAAACCAGACAAGGCAGTCAGTCCACACACGGCCTGCCAACTTCTATCCTTTTCTCAACCAGCTTGCCTGCATCAGCAGTGTTTCATGTAACGACACGTTATATATTTCGCAAAGCATTATTTTCTTTAATCACTTTATCCGAAGCAATTCAAGCTCTATTAGCATAATCTTACACTCCCATCTTATTTCGTAATATATTTTTATTTTATATTCTTATTCTGCCCACAAAATACACAGTCAAGCCACTGTAAATGAAAAAAAACGATTGGTTAATCAATCCACGACTGTCTGTGGGACGCTGCTGTGTTTCGTCCGCAGAGTATACAGTCAACTCACTTTACAGTATATTCTGCAAAGCGCTTTGAGACGTTTCAACGATGTGTTGTAGCGCTATATCAAATGCAAGGATTATTATATCCTGTGAAGCGCTTTGAGACGTCTCGACGATGTGATAAGGCACTATTATCAAGTCCAAGGATAATCATTATTATTCTGACAGGCCTGAATGTGTTAGAGGTCTCGGCCTGGGTCAGGTTTGTGGGTCGAAGCCCCACTTTGGTCCCTTGACCTCACGGTCTCGGGTGACGCTCCAGGACAGTGCTGGGGTAGCGCTGCATTGTCAGATGTGCCGTCCTTCAGATATGTTAAATCGAGGTCCCTGTCCAGGTGGACATTAAAGATCCCACAAAAAGAGAAAGGAGCTTGTCAGGTGCCAAGTCAAACCTGCTCCAGAAAAAAATGGTCACTCGCTCATGGCTGTTTTGGAACCTTTCTGTGGGTAAAATAGCTGCTGTGTTTGTCTACAAAAACAGCCACTGTACTTGATATCAATTACCCGTGAAGTGTCCACACTTCCAGATGATGGAATAGTTGCTCAATGGGAAGGGACGTGTGCCTGAGCTGCGGGCAAGGAAGATAGAGGCTGTGCTCTCACACATTTCAAAGGACGCTATACAAGTGCAAGCTGTTGTCGAAATATCTTTATTCATAGATCCAAGTATTAAAAGCAAGCTGACAAGCAAGCAAGATAGTGCAACTTTGCTATGAAGGTACCACACCCAACGATGTATCCCAGAGAAGCTTCTTCCTGCCAGACTGTCTAAAGGGGGAGCTCGGGTTTGTACTGACTGTAACAATTGCTCAACTCATATCTCCGCTCACCTGCCCGCAGGTTACAGAAGGGAGAACGGTAACCTAGAATATAGCAATCGGGTCAGACAATCATAGCAACCAGCAACCCAGCCCAGAAACCCAGGATTAGACCATCACTCTATCTCACTGCCCAAAAGATTTCTTTAAACGTTTACTTTCCAGCGACTTGTTCGATTCCTATCTCTGTGATCTTCTAACTCCAAATCTGCCCCCTCCTGCTCAGTGTGCTCCGGCCTTCTCCACGTCCCCGGGCCAGCCCACCCCACCATCAGCAGTTGGTCCTATAACCCCTACACTTTGGAACTCCATCCCACAGTCCCTTCGCCTCACCCCCTCCCTTGCCTCCTTCAAGGCCCGTCTCAAGACCCTCTTTGACCGAGCCTTCGGTCACCCTCCTACCCTAACCCTCCCTGCCCTCCAGCCCTCCTGATATGTTATGTGATGTTTCTGGAAGAGAAACATATTGCTTATGAGACCTGCGGAATTTTCTCAAACAAGGCATCCGGTCCTCAATAGCAAAAGGTTAGTCCCCCCCTGGCTGTTGCGAAGGAACCTATATGTAAGTGTAAGCTGCTGTTGTTTGGCCACTAGGCTCTGAGCTTGTTGCAAGTTGAGGAGTTTCTTCTCAGGAGAGGGTCTCATTCTTCTGAACCCGTTGCTAATTTTTGATGGAACAACCTGAAAATTAAACAGTGTATAAATAACAGGGCGGCTTTATCCACCCTCCCTGCACACTCACTGCTCCTGAGGCCGACCAGCGATTAACCCGGGGGATTGACTTGTCAGCAAGGACACCAGGAGAGAGAGAGAGATACTCCGTCGTCTCACATCCCCGTTTTGTAACAAGGGGGTGACAGGACTTTGTGGACACCCTGTACTGCTTGTGACCTCCACGACAACTGATCCAGGCCAATTACCCCAGAACTATTGCCCCGTGTGTGTCTGGGACTCCCATCGGGATGCCTCCGGGTGCCATCCGGTCTCGAACTGTGGTACGTGTGAACGGCAAGTGCGAGAGCCCAGTGCGCAGGAGCCTGTTCTTCCATCCGCCGGACGTGTCCGAAGAATAAATGACACCTCCGCTTAACCAAGCTGCCTTGGTTAAGTCTGCCTGTTCAGGTGGAATTTAAAAATCCCGCGGCACCATTCGAAAGAGAAGGGAGTTTCTCTCTCCTGGTGTCCTGGCCAACAATCACCCCAAATAAAATTGTTATTTCGCTCCACGACTGTTTGCGGGACGCTGCTGTGTGCAAATTGGCTGCCGCGTTTCGCCCACAAAATATACTTTACAATATATCCTGTGAATTTGAGACGTCTTAACGAGGTGATAAAGCGCTGCATCAGACACAAGGATTATTATTATGAAGCTCTCTGGCGATGATCGAATCGTGAAACGACAGGTACAAAATGGCAATGACGCTCCTGAAATCCTGGGATGTGTCTGACACTCACGGAAACCCATCACCAGGTTTAAGAGTATCCAAACCGAGCTGAGAATTCCCTGCCTCCCACCTGCACATGGAAATCCCAGGGATAGATGGTTGGAATGGAATACGCTCTCTCTCCCTGGAGGGACACATCCTGTTTACCTAATTCCGCACAGTATTAGGCATAGGTTGGCAAGAGCCAAAGCTTTGGGAACCCCAGAGTGTGTGTTGGGGATTACAGTCCCTAACCCCATCGGCCCAGACTGTGAACTTAACGTCCCAGACGCGGGGCTTGAACCTACGCCTTCTGACTCTGTACGACTGACTGAGCTAGTGTGAGATTTGACGATTGACCGATTGAAGCCTGGGGTAATAACGTACCTGCGAGGATGAGGCTGTCCATGCGGGAATCCCGGCTGCTGAGAGCCGAGAGGAGAAGCTCCTGCCCAGTATCAGTAATGCCCAAATTGCCTGACAGGTCGAGAGAGACCAGCAGTGGGTAGGACATCAGGGAGCTGGCGAGAAAGGGAATCACTGTCTCAGTTAGTAGTGGAGACCCTTAGTGTAGTGGTTAATGCACTCGCCTCACAAGCGAGAGGAGCTGGGTTCTATTCCCGGGCGGGGCAAAACCTTAGGCAAATTTTCTTACTCTCTGTCCCGCGCCTTGGGACGTCCTCCCGACGTGAAAGGCGCTATACAAATGTAATCTTGTTCTTGTTGTTACTCCACACGCCACTGTTTTTCCTAGCAGTAAGTAGGAACCTGGTTGTTAGTTGATTGGCGGATCACTTCTCTCGGAGTAGTAATCTCTCAAAAAAAAATAATTTAGTCACTCAATCCATTACTGTTTGTGGGATACTCTGTGTGCAATTCGTTGCCAGGTTTCACCCACAAACTACAGTCAATTTGCTTTACAGTATATTCTGTGAAGCGCTTTGAGACGTCTCAACGACGTGACAAGGTGCTACATCAAATGCAGGTATTATTATTATTATGTTAATGATGGAAAAAGGATTGGGAATAACCTGGCAAAGTCTTGGATATCGTCGTCTGTCAAACTGTTTCAGACAGGTTGAGGTGAGTCAGAGCACAGGCATCCTGGGAACGAGAGAGAGAGGTTACTACTTCAAAAGTGCTGCACAGAGAATCCCTGTCAGTTGACGTGAAATTGGAATTGTAGACACTTCATGGCTGTTTGCGGGGAATCGCTGTGCGATAGCTTTTCTGTGGGACACGTTTGCAGAGCTATGGGGAGAGCGCGGGGGAGTGGGCTTGAATTGGATAGCTCTTTTCAAAGAGCTGGCACGGACACGATGGGCCGAATGGCCTCCTACTGTGCTGTATAATTCTATGATTCCATGGTAAGCGGTGGTGATCAGCCGCACGCAGAAACCCATCACTGTGATCAACTGGTGTTTGACACACGTGGAAACCCATCACTATGATCAACTGGTATTAGACACACATGGAAACCCATCACCATACTTAAGGGTGTCCAAACCAGACTGGGAATTCCAGGCATCCCACTTACACAAAGAAATTTCCCTGTGTCTGGAATGGAACGTGCATTCCCCCTGGAGGGATGCATTCCTGCTTACATAATTCCAGAGAATTGCGTTGGAGGACCTATAAGCTGTGAGGTTAAGCCGGGGCTCTTCAGTTCTTGAAAAGAGATGTTTAAGAGGAGACCTTGCAGAGGTGTATAAGATACAAAACAGAATTGAGAAGTGAATGTATGACAAGCTTCTCTGGATGTGTGTAGACAGCAGGACAAGAGATAGGTCACGTGCTCAGGATGTGAAGAGCAAAGCGGAAAAGCTGACCTGGAAATACCTCGTGTGAAGGCAATGTGTCCGCTCACCTGTAAGAGGTAAGTCGCAATGTGACTGATAAAAGCTTTGTGGCTGAGGCTCCCGACCACCGAGGCGATGTCCAGATGAGAGATGTGTTGGGGCAGGGTCTGTGTGAGCAGCTTCACCCCATTCAAGCCCAGCATATTGTGCGACAGGCACAGCCTCTTCAGCTCTGAGCTTCCTGGTCAAGTCACGGAAAAGGGGGAGAACGAGGATAGCACATTAACAACAACAACAACAAGATTCCATTTATTGATCGCCTTTCACGTCGGGAGGACGTCCCAAGGCGCTATACAGTTGGGTCAGGACCCGAGCATTGGGGGGAAATGGTCAGGGTGAGGGGAGGGAAGGGAGGGAGCGAGGAGGGGGTAGAGAGTCGAGAGGGGAGCTGAAGGCACGGTCAAAGAGAAAGGTCTTGAGACCGGCCTTGAAGGAGGAAAGGGACCGAGCGACGGAGTGTGTCTGCTGGAGGGTATGTTACGAGACAGTGTGTTTGGGCCATTCATTGTATACACAGTGGGAGTGAATGAGAGGGGTATATAATAATAATAATAATAATCATTACATTTGTTACAGCGCCTTATCATGTCGTCGAGACGTCTTAAAGCCCTTCACAGAATATACTGTAAAGTGAATTGACTGTGCATTTTGTGGGTGAAATGATATCAATGACAAGCTATATGGGTTTAGCTGGTTAGCCTCCAGCAGTTACCCCAACACACACTCTGGGGTCCCCAAGCCTTGGCTCTTGCCAACCTGCGCCTAATGCTCTCCGGAATTGGGTGAGCAGTTTGTGTCCCTCCAGCGAGAGAGAGAGAGAGAGAGAGAGCGAATTCCATTCCAACCATCTATCTCTGGGATTTCCATGTGTAGGTGGTAGGTGTGAAATTCTCAGTTGGGTTTGGATAGTCCTAAGCACGGTGATGGGTTTCTGCACGTGTCAGACACCCGGCTGACCCCCCCCCCCCCCCCCCCACCCCACCCCCCCGCACACTCACTCACCTCTGATGGCTTCTCTCAGAGAGTCACACTGCAGGAACGTCGATGTGAGCTGACAGGACTGGAGTCTGAGCGTGTTCAGTCTGGGGCAGGTGGTCAGGAGTCGGGCGATGGAGGGAGAACAGGCATCACCCAGGGCATTCATACTCAAATCCAACTTCTCCAGACTCTGAAACAACATGTTACTCACACTCGCTTCCTGTTACTCTCTCACTATCACGCATCACTCACACTAACTCCCGTTACTCTCTCACTATCACACATCACTCACATTCGCTCCCGTTACTCTCTCACTATCACACATCACTCGCATTCACTATCACACATCAGTCACATTCACTCCCGTTATTCTCTCACTGTCACACATCACTCACACTAATTCCCGTTACTCTCTCATCACTCACACTCACTCCTGTTATTCCCTCACTGTAACATCACACTGTGCTTCCCACCACATATACACACATCACTCCCCATACACACAGTGATATATATAGCCACACACAGTGACACACACATAGCGACATACATAACCACACACAGTGCCACACACACAGAGAGACACATAGGCACACCCAGTGACACACACACAGTGACACACACAGCAACCCACACATACAATGACACGATACAATACAAAATTACATTTGTACAGTGCCTTTCACGCCAGGAGGACGTCCCAAGGCACTGGACATTCAGGGATTTGGACCCGAGCGGGGGAGGGATAAGAGAGGGTGGACGTCAGGGAGAGTATGAGGGTCAGTCAAGGAGGAAGGTCCTTAGATGGGCCTTGAAGGAGGCAAGGGAAGCAGCGAAGGTGATGGAGTTCTGATGGTGGTGATGACCTCTGATGGTGGATGTGGAGCAGTCCGGAACCTGCTGAACAGAGGGAGCAGACAGGTTGGTAGGGGGTCAGTAGGCCAGAGAGGTAGGAGGGGGCAAGACCGTGGAGGGCCTCGAAAGTGAGGACACGAGCTACAAAATTCTGGATGATCTGCAGCTTGTGGAGGGAAGAGTTGGGGAGACCAACAAGCAGGGAGTTGGCTTAGTCAAACCTAGATGTGATAAATGCAGCTATGAGGGTTTTGATGGCCTGAGGGGTGAGGCAGTGGCGGAGCTGGGTGGGGGAAGGCAGAGTGGGTTATGGCATGGATTTGGGTAGAAAGGATAGTAGGATGTTAGGGGGTTAGGAGGTCGCAGAGGTAGGGGGGAGCAAGACCATGGAGGGCTTTGAAGGTGTGGACCAGATCTTGAACTTTATTGACTGTGTGATGGGAAACCAGTGGAGTTGGACGAGGATGGAGGATGGGGTGATAGGGTCACAGAGCCTGGTGCGGGAGAGGACATGGGCTGCAGAGTTCTAGATGATTACTCTCCTCTTTCCAACGTCCTTCGAATAAAGGACTGAGTTTGATCTCCCAAGTAAAAATATCTATCCTTTTAAAAGCAAACTCAAAGAGTCAAACTTACTAAGAGGACTATACTGTATTAGAAAGCGGCTCGGGTGGGCAGGTTGCCAATTGTGTTGCGTCCAAGTACACAAAGTCAGCCAATACTTTAAGACAAAAACCTAATCTTGTGAGAAAAGCATTTTCGCTCACGCAGACTGTCAGCTCGGCAACAACACACTGTGTCATGTTAATTAAAGTCTCTGTAGCTACATAGATATGCAATGTCAAAAGGCTTACAGTGCACTCGCTTCAGTAACCATAAAATTTCATTGAACATTAGCTGAAAATAAAGCTTTGCTGCAGAGATGTACCCCTGTCTGAGAGTTCAGCCGGTGAAGCCGTCTTTTTATTACATTACCCCCCGTGCATTGTTTCATTTAGTCACTGTAAACTGCGTCCCCTTTATCAGTTTGTTTTATTTAGTCTGTGTTGTTTGCCATTACTGTGGCAAACACAGATCCACCAAATTGGTATGAAAGACTACATCGGATACATGTAATAAAATGGATTTTGTCTGTGACCAAAGTCTGCATCAACCACCCAACATTCTTGGCAAAAACCAACAGTAAACAATCAAGCGTTTTTGCCACTTTTTACTCAAGAAATTCACCAGACTCTCACCTTCTCCCAAGAGGCTTCAGAATTTACTGAAATTAAAATCGCAGAAACCATTAACTACCGATAGACTGTAAGATAAATCCATTGCTTTAATAATTGCTGCAACGAGGTAGTTTTCGACCATCTTTGTGCGCTAAAGTGTTGAAAATGCGCAAAATTGAATTAAACATTTGTTTCATTGTTTCCCCTCAACCACAGCGAACACAATGCCTAATGCAGCTCTCACCTGCCAAAGCTACGCTCCTGGCCTTGCAGCCGTGAGATCACCTAACCGATCACCCAGAAGGTTGGGAAATGAACACAAGGATGGATTTCATGATTCACGTCAAAATCTGATTTAAAAGGCTGATTTTCAGGAGGATGGAAAGGTTTCTTTCTCCCTCCATTTCTCTCGCTCTGCACAATTCCCGAAAAGGGGTAGGCTTCAGTTCCCTGACTCTCCGCTCACGTCCACGTGTTGGCGGTTTTAACTTACTTTGTTCAATTAAACGTTCTTGACAGCTCGCCTCGCTACAATTATCCATTCTTTTGTACATTTGCTCTGTTCGTTATATGCCCTGAATAATGTTTTCTAAAAAGTTTTGATCTTTATTTATGGTGGTGCGCACAGCCTTTATATCGGTGCACAGACCCACATTCATTCCACGCATTGGCCGAAAAAATTAGAGGGAACATAAGTCCAGGGAAGGATTTTTTAAGGATAGGAGTGATGACGGCAGTACACAGAGACACACACACACAGTGACCCACACACAGTGATACAGACACATAGTGACACACACACAGTGACACAGACACACAGTGACCCACACACACAGTGATACAGACACACAGTGACCCACACACACAGTGACACAGACACACAGTGACCCACACACACAGTGATACAGACACACAGTGACCCACACACACAGTGACACAGACACACAGTGACCCACACACACAGTGATACAGACACACAGTGACCCACACACACAGACACAGACACACAGTGACCCACACACACAGTGATACAGACACACAGTGACCCACACACACAGTGACACAGACACACAGTGACCCACACACACAGTGACACCGACACACTGTGACACAGACACACAATGACCCACACGCACAGTGATGCATACACAGTGACACACACATACACACAGTGATACATACCCACAGTGACACAGACACACAGTGACACAGTGACACAGACACACAGTGACACAGACACACAGCGACACAGACACACAATGACCCACACGCACAGTGATACATACACAGTGACACACACATACACACAGTGATACATACCCACAGTGACACAGACACACAGTGACTACAAACAGTGACACAGACACACAGCGACACACACACACAGCGACACAGACGCAGCGACACAGACACACAGTGACACACAGCGGCACAGACACACAGCGACACACACACAGTGACAGACACACAGCGACACAGACACACAGTGACAGACACACAGCGACACAAGACACACAGTGACAGACACACAGTGACACAGACACACAGTGACAGACACACAGCGACACAAGACACACAGTGACAGACACACAGTGACACAGACACACAGTGACAGACACACAGCGACACACACACACACAGAGAGTGACCCACACTGACCTGCAAGCTGAGGTCAGAGGGCCCGAGTGTGGCGTCACACAGCGCCATCAGGCCGGGGGCAGAGATGCGGTTGGAGGCCAGGTCTAGGTGGCTGAGGCCGGGCAGGGTGGCCAGGGTGGATCCCAGCTCCTCCAGGAGCCTGTCACACAGCCTGTTGCTGCTCAGACGCAGCTCGCGGGTCTCGCTCTGTCGCTGGAGGGCGCGGAGCAAGGGGGGCGACTGCTCTCGCCCCAGATCCAGGTCAGACAGGTCCAGGCTCGGGCTGGTCTCCTGCAGCTTAAGCACCTTCGCCAAGGCCGGGACCCTGTCTGAGCAACGACAACGACAACAACAACAACACATTACATTTGCACGGCGCCCTTCACGTCAGGAGGACGTCCCAAGGCGCTGGGCAGTCAGGGATTTGGACCCGAGCTGGGGGGTTGGCGAGGAGCGGTGGAGGGCAGGGAGGGTAGGGGTAGGAGGGTGGCCAAAGGCGCGGTCGAAGAGGAGGGTCTTGAGACGAGGCTCAAGCGCTCCGGGACGCGGGCATGAAGGGCGCTGTATAAACGCAAGCTGTTGTTGTTGTTGAAGGAGGTGAGGGAGCGAGCGAGCGAGCGAAGTGACTGTGGGATGGAGTTCCAAAGGGCGTGGCAGAGAGGCTAAGGTTTCGCCGGCGGATGGTGGGGCAGGGCTGGGCGGGATCAGGCCCCGCTGCGTGGAGGGAGAGGACAGGTCGGTATGGAACTCGTACACCAGAGACAACGGCACTCACTGTCCTCTGTAACTCGCTGCTACTTTGGTCACTGATCCCCAATTCACTGTGTGTGTGTAACACCGTGTGTGTGCTGTGTGTAACACTGTCTGCGTGTGCTGTGTGTAACACTGTGTGTGTGCTGTGTGTAACACTGTGTGTGCAACACTGTGTGTATGTATGTAACACTGTGTGTGTGCTGTGTGTAACACTGTGTGTGTAACACTGTGTGTATGTATGTAATAATAGTCCCTCCAAAAAAACAAAACAATAATAAATTGGTCATTTTCAATCCATATGACTGTTTGTGGGACATTGCTGTGCGCAATTGGCTGCCGCGTTCACCCACAAATATACAGTTAATTCACTTTACAGTGTGTTCTGTGAAGCGCTTTGGAACGTCCGCCCGACACAAGGATTATTATTATTATTATTATAACACTGTATGTGTGTGTGTGTGTGTGTAACACTGTGGATGTAACACTGTGTATGTGTGTGTAACACTGTATATACTTGTGTACAACACTGTGTGTGTGCGTAACACTGTGTGTATGTGTGTGTGTATAACACTGTATATGTGTGTGTAACACTGTGTGTGACGGTGTGTGTGTGTGTGTAAAACACTGCATTACTCACCCAGTCTCATGAGCTGACAGCACCTGGTGTAACGGTCACTCAGAGGAGGCAGATCCCAGGCCGTCACCTCCGCCAGAACCTGAGAGAAACAGACTCCACCTCAGTCAGTCCGTCAGTCAGTGAAATCAGGAACTCTCTCCCCAAAAAGGCTGTGGATTCTGGATCCATTCACATTATCCAGACCGAGGGGCCTAGATATTTGTTGGGTTGGGGTATCGTGGGATATGGGGAAAAGGTGGGTAATTGGAGTTAAGGTACAGATCAACCATGATCTAATAGAGTGGCAGAACAGGCTCGAGGGGCTGAATGGCCTCCTCCTGTTCCTATGTTCCAAACGTCCCTTGATTCTGATACAGCGTCTTATCACGTTCGAAGGACGTTCCAAAACGCCTCACAGGCTTTACTGTAAACTTCAGTGATGGTTGTAATGATAATAATGGTTGCGTTTGATAGAGCGCTTTTCACGTCTTCTCGCCGTCTCAAAGCGCTTCACAGAATAGACTGTAAAGTGAATTGACCGAATATTTGTGGGCGAAACGTGGCAGCCAATTGCGCACAGCGGCGTCCCCACAAACAGCCGTGGATTGAAAATGACCAATTTATTATTGTTTTGTTGGGATTATTATTAGGCTCTGTGTGGAGTAAGGGAACTTGCCCGAGGTGTCGCCCGCTCCCTCCGCTCAGCCGGCTCCGGACTGCTCCACATCTCTTGACCCACCCGCCCCACCATTGGCGGGAGAGCCTTCAGCCACTCTGCCCCCAACCTCTGGACCTCCATCCCCCAGTCACTCCGCCTCGCCCCCTCCTTAGCCTCCAAATCCCGCCTCAAAACCCTCCTCTTCTACCGTGCCATCGGTCACCCCCCCTTCCCTTCCCCTCCCTTCTCCCCCCCCTGACCCCAGCTCGGGTCTGAAACGCTGTACTCTGTCCAGCGCCTTGGGGACGTCCTCCCGACGTGAAAGGCGCTATACAAATGCAATGTTGTTGTTGTTGTAAACGCAGCAGTCAACTTACACCCAGCAACGGCCCCCAAACAGCCATGACGTGAATGAACCAACTGTATCCGGGAGGGTTGTTGGCCAGGACCCGGGGAGAGAGAAACACCCTTTCGAATAGTGCCACCCACACCCCAGAGCCACCCCTCACCCCCCACCCAACCAAGCCCCCAGACGCCACCCCTCACCCCCCACCCACCCACACCCCAGAGCCACCCCTCACCCCCCACCCACCCATCCACACCCCAGAGCCACCCCTCACCCCCACCCACCCACCCACACCCCAGAGCCACCCCTCACCCCCCACCCACCCACACCCAGAGCCACCCCTCACCCCCCACCCACCCACACCCCAGACGCCACCCCTCACCCCTCACCCACCCACACCCCAGAGCCACCCCTCACCTCCCACCCACCCACACCCCAGAGCCACCCCTCACCCCCACCCACCAACACCCCAGACGCCACCCCACACCCCCCACCCACCCACACCCCAGAGCCACCCCTCACCCCCCACCCACCCACACCCCAGAGCCACCCCTCACCCCCCACCCAACCAAGCCCCCAGACGCCACCCCTCACCCCCCAGTGAGTGAGGGAGGGATTGACAGAGGTGTAAAGTGGGGGACAGAGGGAGAGGGGTAACAGACACACACACACACAGCTGGTTGGGGCGGCTGTGCTGCGTCACACACTCACTCACCTCCTCGTTGTCACGGAGAACGTGAAGTACGAGATCCTGCGGGTGGAGCCGGGCCCCAGAGCTGGTCAGGGTCACCCGCGGGAGGAACCCACAGGTCTGTTGGTATCTGTTGCTCGCCTGTTCAGCCAGCCAGCCCACATCGTGTGTCCGACTGTAATCACAGAGTGTGTCCGACTGTAATCACAGTGTGTGTCTGACATAACAGTCTGTGTCCGACTGTAATCACAGTGTGTGTCTGACTGTAATCACAGAGTGTGTCCGACTGTAATCACAGTGTGTGTCTGACCGTCATCACACACAGCCAACACGGTACACCCATACACACAGCACTGACACACCGTGTGTGCGCACAGCACAGTCCACCCGCGCTCTCTGCTCTAATCCCGCTGCCTGCTCTCTCCCCGCGGTGTCTGCGCTGGTTGCTGGGCTCGCTGTGACCTACCTGTGAGGCACACCGATGAGGAAGGTGATGTCTCTGACCCGGACTCTGATACGGATTCCCAGGGGGACACCGACCACCGATACCATGGGCTGCGCTGCTCCCTGTCAGCCCGGAACCAGAGAGAGATTACACAGCACACAGGCAGATCAGTTCTTTCCTTTTAACTCTTCCTCTGTCTCTCCTTCTATCTCTCTCCTACCTTTCCATCCGACTCACCCTCCTCCTTCTCTCTCCCTCCTTCACGTTCTGTCTCTCTCCCTTTGCCTCTCCTTTTATCTTTCCATCCCTCACTCCCGCTCCTTTCTCTCTTCCTTTCGCTCTCTCTCTCTCTTACTCTCTCATTCAACGTCTCTCTCTCTCTCCTTCTCTGTCTTTTTCCCTCTCTTTTTCTCCTTCTCTATCCCTCGCCCTCCATCTCTCTCTCTCTCTCTCTCTCTGTCACTCCATCTCTCCCTCACTCCATCTCTCTCCCTCTATTGCTCAATCCGTCTCTGTCACTCCTCTCTCCCCACCTTGACTTTCTGTCTCTCTCCCTGCGTCTCTCACTCCATCTCCTCCTCACTGCGTCTCTCTCTCCCTCTATCTCTACATCAGTCTCTCTCGCCCTCCTTTTCTCCCCCTTGAACATAAGAACATATGTCTTTCCCCCAGCACCCTGTACCCCCGTACACCCCCCTACCCCCCAGCCCCTCCCTCTGGGTCTGCACTGGTAGCTTACCTGGGAGGAATGAGGTGTGAGGTGTGTGCCCTCCCTCACTGCCATCTCCCTGTCCTGGCCTTGACCTGCACACGGCCAGTCACCCGCCAGCCCAGAGTCTGACCAGTGATAGCCTTTCTCCACTGCCTTGGGGTCCGCCTGGCCCCCCGCCCAGTCCCCGGGGTCTGTGAGAGGTGCAGGGTTACCAGGAGGGGGAGGGTGGGATCGGAATGGAGGTGAGGGTGATGATATCTCTGTTGATGATGAATCCCTGGTTTCCTGTAGGACGTCTGTGGTGCTCCCCTCGTCGCTTTCGCACGAGTATATCATTGAGCTGTCCACCACCACTCCCGCTTGACTCTCGGCCCAGTGCCCTGTGCCCTCACCGGCCTCGGGCTGTGAATTCTGCTCTGTGACCTGCGAGCCTTGGCTGCTCATGGTCAGGTGGAACATGGGCAAGATCTCGTCCTCCAAGGAGTCTGCGTCCCAGGAAGAAAAGGTGACCTGTCTCCTGCGCTTCGAGGGGCTGTTGTCCAACCAGTCTTCGGTCAAGGGAGGGCTGAGCTCGGCTTCGGATGCTCGCTTGCCCAGTGGGAGCTCCGGAAGGTTCCATACCTTAGACCCAGTGACCGCAAGCGACGGGCTGGGCTCAGGGTTAACCACTTGGCCAAAATTCTCATCACCATTCACAGCTCCCAGAGAGAGAGAGAGAGACCTTAATAACTCCCACTCAGACACACACTCACTAACATCCGCAGATACACAATTACACACTAACACATACACACTGACACACACACACACACTAACACACAGACACACTCACACTAACATACATACACACTGACGCACACACACTAACACACTCACACATACACACTCACTAACACACATACACACACTCACACTAACATACATACACACTGACACACTCACACACATACACACACTCACTAACACACATACACACACACAAACACACATACACACTCACACGCTAACACATACACACTTACACACATACACACTGACACACACACACTAACACACATACACACACACTTACACACATACACGCTCACATTCATACACACACACACACACACATACACACACACGCGTACTCACACACTAACACATAGACACAGACTCACACTAACACACACATACACATTCAGACTATGGAGCTGTCATTGGTAATAGACTATATACAATACTATACAATACAAAATTACATTTTATACAGCGCCTTTCACATCGGGAGGACGTCCCAAGGCGCTGCACAGTCAGGAATTTGGACCCAGGCTGGAGGTCGGGATCAGGGAAGGTGGAGGGAAGGGTGGTGGCCAAAGGCTCAGTCGAAGAGGATGGTTTTGAGACGCGCCTTGAAGGAGGTAAGGGAGGGAGCGAGGTGAAGGGAATGTGGGATAGAGTTCCATAGGGTGGGGTCGGAGAGGCTGAAGGCCTGAGTGGTGGAGTGGGCTGGGTGGGGGACATGGAGCAGGCCACAGCTGCTGAGCGGAGGGAGCGGACAGGTTGGTATAGAGGTGTCACTGCTAATATCAGACTATATTGAGATGTCACGGTTAATATCACTATATTTATCAAACCGTCCAGAGGTGCCACTTTTAATATCAGGCCATATCAAGATGTTCTCTGCCAAGATCAGACTATATAAAGGTGCTCACTTGGTAATATCAGGCTAATTGGTGCTATGTAGACCTTCTCAAACCATGTCTCTAACCATCTCCCCTCTGGTAGTTTTAGAGCCTGATATTCGCTGTGATCTGCCCACACCCCTCGTACCTGCCAGTGAGGTTGTCTGCAGTCGTCTCTTTATGTTCACCAGCCTGTCCTGGGTTTTCATGTCTAGGTCTGACATCTGGCACAAGTTATTGATGATATCCTGAGGTGTGGACCCCTGTGGGAAAGCCAATTGAGAGACTGTTCAGTAAAACAACAAGTCCTTACATTTATACAACACCCTTCACGTAGGGTAATGAGATGGGTTGCTATATGTAGGTGAGGGGAAATGACCTTAAGGACACTGGCAGCAGAATTTTGGATGAGTTGTAGTTTGTTAATGGTGGAGTGCACAGTCAGTCCACTTTGCAATGTATTCCATGAAGCGCTTTGAGACCACTCAACAATGTGAGAAGGCGTTATATCAAAGGCGAGGATTATTATTATAATACTCTTCAGATTTTAAAACAAAAGTATTTCACTTTGTTCCTGTGGAGTCCTGTAGCTCAATGGTTAGAGCACTCGCTTTGCAAGTGAGAGACCTGAGTTCAATCCCAGGCAGAGGGCGAAACCTTGGGCAAGTTTCCTTACTCCACACAGAGCCTAATAATAATCCCTCCAAAACCAAAAACAATAATAAATTGGTCATTTTCAACCTACGACTGTTTGGGGGACATTGCTGTGCGCAATTGGCTGCCGCGTTCGCCCACAAATATACAGTCAATTCACTTTACAGTGTGTTCTGTGAAGCGCTTTGGGACGTCCTCCCGACGTGAAAAGCGCTATATCAAATGCAAGGATTATTATTATTATTATTATTATTCCCAGACCTTGCATAATACGCCGTTTACCTCTGTTTACCTTGCAGTAAGTAGGAACCTGGTTGTTAGTTGATTGGCGGATCGATTTCCGGGGACAATAATCCCTCCTTTAATTTTACAAAATTAAAATTTGGTCATTCACGACTGTTTGTGGGACACTGCTGTGTGCAATACCAGCAGAAAGTGCCGTTTGATGGAGAGTGGGATAAGAGCACGGAGAGGAGAGGAGGAGTGGGAGTCACTGACCTCTTTGTCTCTGAGATTGGCGGATGCTCCTCTGGCTATCAGCAACTCGACCACGCTCAGCCTCCTGTTATTCAGAGCGTCGTGGAGTGGGGTGATTCCTTCACACATGCTGTCATCTGAGTCATTGACCTTCGCCCCGGCGTCCAGCAAACAACGCACAACTTCTGCAAGCAACATGTCCAGGTTCATCCACTCACATCAACACACTTGCCCCACAGGCCAGCTCAGGATCCTTCAGCCCATTTAATTTCTTTTGGTCAGCCGGGTGTTAGTTTGGTTAGACAGAAAACGAGGATAAACTGCATAGTGCCTTTCACATTGGGAGGACATCCCAAGACACTGCAGAGGAGAGCCACAAGGTTTCAAATTTCTTTGGGGGTCAGCCAGGTGGCTGACACATGCGGAAGCATATCACTGTGCTTAAGAGTCTCCAGGCCAAACTGAGAATTTCATATCTCCCATCGACACGTGAAAATCCCAGAGATAGATGGTTGGAATGGAATGCGCTCTCTCTCTCTGGAGGGACACATCCTGTTTACCTAATTCTGGAAAGTATCAGGCGCAGGTTGGCAAGAGCCAAGGCTTGGGGGCCCCAGAGTGTGCGTTGGGGTAACGCTGGAATCTGAGCAGCTAAAACCCCATAACTTGCCATTGATATCACCGTCTGACAAAGCTTGTCCAGCCAGGACGCACCCTACCCGTTAGGGCTTCGGTTTGCAGGGTTTATCAGGAGCCGAGTAGGAGGATTCCCTGTTGCCAGTTTAGGGACATGGCTTACCGATGTGGCCATGGTTACAAGCCTCGTGTAATGGTGTCCAGCCAGCATTGTCTCTCTCATTCAAGGAATGTTCCTGGAATAAATCATTGAAAACCACAGGTCAGGGCCCACACACTTCCTGTATCTGCAATAGAATGTGCACTCCCTCGCTGGACCTGCTGACCTTGTCCTGGAGAATATTAGGCCGAGGACTTAACCCAAGCCAAGGCTTGGTACCCCAGAGAATGCGTTGGGGGTAACTGCTGGAGCCTAACCAGCTAAACTGTATAGTTTCCCATTGATGTCACTGTCTAGAAAGCTTTCCCGCTGCCTATCTAGCTAGGACCAGCCTACCTTTAGGGCTTAACAAGAGCTGAGCGGGAGGATTGGAACCATTTCAGCTGAGAGTGAAAGTGACTGAGCCACAGGCGGAGAGTGAGAATGACTGAGACACAGACTGAGAGTGAGATTGACTAAGACACAAGCTGAGTGAAAGTGACTGAGCCACAGGCTGAGAGTGAGTTTGACTGAGACACAGGCTGAGAGTGAGAGTGACTGAGACACAGGCTGAGAGTGAGAATAACTGAGACATAGGGGGATGGGGCTCAGAATGTAGCATCAGGGAGGGGAAACGAGTCACATACTGGATGAGGAGAGACAAATAGAAACGAAACAAGGAATAGTCCAGCAAAAAGTGGAAAGAGACGGGAGAGAAATGTAGAGCGGATTAAGCCAGTATTGGAGTGCGTGTGTGTAAATTCACGGAGCGTGACCAATAAGCTTGGGGAGCTGCGGCTCAAGTTGCCATATGGAACTATGATGTAGTGGTAATTATGGAGACTTGGCTCAAGCAAGGACAGGAATGGGAGCTGAATATTCCTGGCTACAACCTATTCAGGAGGGATAGGGAAGGGAAAAAAGGAGGAGGGGTGGCAATAGTCATTAGGGACACGGTGACGGTTCTGGAAAAGGACGATGTGTTAGAGGGTCCAAAAACTGAATCTATTTGGTTAGAGTTTCGGAGAAAAAAAGGAGCTGTTACTCTGTTAGGTATTTACTATAGACTTCCAAATAGTGGGAAGGTGACAGATGAGCAAATCTGCAGCAGATTTCGGAGAGATGCAAAACCAATAGAGTAGCGATAATGGAGGATTTCAATTAACCTCACATAGACTGGGAAATACACAGTGTAAAGGGCAAGGAAGGGGAGGAATTCCTGAAACGTGTGCAGGAGAACTTTCTGGATCAGTATGTTTCCAGCCCAACGAGGAAGGAAGCAGAGCTGGATTTAGTTCTGGGGAATGAAGTGGGGCAAGTGGAGCAGGTTTCAGTAGGAGAGCATCTGGACAACAGTGATCACAACATCATTAGGTTTAGAATAGTTATGGAAAAGGACAACAATCAAAGGTAAAGACCCTCAACTGGAAGCGGGATAATTTCAGTGAGCTAAAAAGGGACCTGGCCAAGATAGATTGGAAAGAAAGATTGGCAGAGAAGACGGCAAACGAACAATGGGAAGCCTTCCAGGAGGAGATAGTTCGGGGACAGAGCAAATACATTCCCACAAAGGGGAAAGGTAGGACAGTCAAACCTCCCTGGATGACTAAGGAAATTGGGATTAAAATAAAACAGAAAAAGGAGGCTTATGACAGATATCAGGTCCAAGACACACAGGATAATCAAATAGAATATAGGAAGTACAGAGGAGAAGTGAAAAGGGAAATAAGAGAAGCGAAGAGATTGTATGAGAAAAGATTAGCAGGAAACGTAAAAGGGAACCCTAAGGTATTTTATAAGCATATAAAGAATAAAAGGTAAGTCAAAGGTAGGGTGGGTCCAATTAGGGACCCAAGTGGAAATCTTCTTGTTGAGGCAGAGGGCATTGGCTGATGTACTAAATAAGTACTTTGCAACTGTCTTCACAAAATAAGACAATGCAACCAATGCCACAATATCGCAGGAGCGTGAACAGAAATTGGATATGATAAAAATCAACAGAGAGGAAGTACTAAAAAGATTGTCGGTGCTCAACATAGATAAATCACTTGGTCCGGACCAGATGCAGCCTCGGTTACTGAGGGAAGCAAGGGTGGAAATAGCGGAGGCTCTGGCCACAATCTTTCAATCCTTTTTGGACACTGGAGTGGTGCCAGAGGACTGGAAGGTTGCAAATGTTACTCCCCTGTACAAAAAGGTACAGAAGGATAAACCTGAGAACTACAGCCAATCAGCCTCACATCAATAGTAGGGAAACTTCTGGAGACATAATCTGGGACAATATAAATTCTCACTTAGAAAAATACGGTTTAATAAAGGACGGTCAACACGGATTTGTTAAAGGCAGATCATGTCTGACAAACCTAATAGAATTTTTTGATGAAGTTGCTGAGAGGGTGGATGAAGGCAGTGCAGTAGATGTAGTTTATATGGATTTTCAAAAGGCATTTGACAAAGTGCCACATAAGAGACTTATAAACAAAATAGAAGCCCACGGTATTAAAGGGACTGTGGCAACATGGATCCAGAACTGGCTGGGAGACAGAAAGCAGAGAGTGTGGTAGTAAACGGTTGCTTTTCTGACTGGAGGGAGGGGTGTAGTGGTGTCCCTCAGGGATCGGTATTGGGACCACTGCTCTTTCTGATCTATATTAATGATCTGGACCTGGATATAGGGAGCACAATTTCCAAATTTGCAGACGCTACTAAGCCAGGAAAAATAGTCAATGGTGAGGAAGATAGCACCAGACTCCAAGAAGACTGAGACAGATTGGTAAAATGGGCAGAAACGTGGCAGGTGAGATTTAATGTGGAGAAATGTGAAGTGTTGCATTTTGGTAGGAAGAATGAGGAGAGGCGGTATAAGCTGATGGTACAATCTTAAAGGGGACAAATGAAAAGAGAGACCTGGGGGTCCACATAAGCAAATCTCTGAAGGCGGCAGGACAGGTAGATAAAGCTGTTAAAAAAGCATACAGGATACTAGGCTTTGTAAATAGGGGCATAGAATTCAAAAGTCAGGAGGTTATGTTAAATATTTATAAAATGCTGGTTAGGTTTCAGTTGGAGACTGCATTCAGTTCTGGGCATCGCACTTTAGGAAAGATGTTAGGGTACTGGAGAGAGTGCAAAGGAGGTTTACCAGGATGGTACCAGCAATGAAGGACCTTAGTTATGAGGAGAGGTTAGCGAAACTAGGATTATTCTCCCTCGAGCAGAGAAGATTAAGAGGGGATTTAATAGAGGTTTTCAAGATCATGAGAGGATTTGATAGGTTGAACCAGGAAAAACTGTTTCCACTGGCATGTGGGTCAGTAACCCGAGGACACTGATTTAAGATAGTTGTTAAAAGAAACAGAGGGGAGGTTAGGAAAAATGTTTTCACATAGCGAGTTGTTGGGATCTGGAACTCATTACCTGAAAAGGTAGTGGAAGCCAATTCAATAACAACTTTTAAGAGAGAAGTAGATGGGTATTTGGGGAGGACAGGATTGCAGGGCTATGGAGAGAAAGTGGGCCAGTGGGATTGAGTTGGATTGCTCTTTGTGGAGCTGGCGTAGGTGCGATGGGCTGAATGGCCTCTTTCTGTGCTGTATGATTCTATGATAGGCTGAGAGTGAGAGTAACTGAGACACAAACTGAGAGTGAGATTGACGGACACTTTTACCTGTTCAATGAGGGTGGTGACCAGTTGCAGGTCACCCCTGATACAGGCCTTGTGGAGACGAGTCTCACCCTTTATGTTCTTCTTCCAGACCTGGCGGGAGAGTCACTATCAGCAAAGATAGCACAGCCAGAGTGGAGGCCACGGAGGGAGGGAGGGAGGACGGACGGACGGACAGACTGACTGAGTGACGTGGACGGAGACTAACTGACTGGCTGGCTGGCTGACTTAAGTGGACAGAAACTGACTGACTGACTGACAGACAGACAGACAGACAGACAGACAGACACGGACAGACGGACAGACGGACGGACGGACGGACTGACTGACTGACCTGGATGGAGACTGACTGACAGACAGACAGACATACAGATAGAGAGACTGACTGACTGACTGACATGGACGGAGATTGACTGGCTGACTGACAGACAGACAGACAGACAGACAGACTGACTGACTGACTGACTTGTACTGAGCCGGGCTGGCCCCGGGCTGGCTGTTGTGGACCCTGGTAACCTCACCTTTGCTCTGTTCATCCTGGTGACAGCTGCAGAGCGTCCACAGCTGAGTGCAGTGCCTCACAGTGAGAGTCTCAGCGCATCACTCAGTCACAATCCTCACTCTCACAGCAAATCTTTGACTTTCACTTTCATTTCTCTTCACAGCCCGGCTACAGCTTTATTTTGTAACCTCAACCACGAACACACCCATGAGCCGTCAGCCTGGTTGGGTTACAGGCTCACTCGCTTGCTCACTTATGAGTCAACACAGCGTGGTCTCATAGTGCAGGCTTATACTCCAATAATAACAATAATGATAATAATAATCCTTGTATTTGATATAGCGCCTTATCATGTCTTCGACACGTCTCAAAGCGCTTCACAGGGTATACAGTAAAGCGAATTAGAGCGAAACGTGACAGCCGATTGGGCACGGCAGTGTCCCACAAACAGTCGTGGATTGAAGTGACCAATTTACAGTGCAGAACAGACAGAGCAACAACAACAGCTTGCATTTATATAGCGCCCTCGTGCGGGGTAGTCTCAGAGCGCTTAGCAGTGGTGGTGTCTGACGCCGAGCCAGGGGAAGGTCTTCAGTCATGATCTAAAAGAGGGGACGGAGGGGGAACGATTGGGGGAGAGAGCTCCAAAGCTTCGGGGCAGACAGAGCACAAGACAGCAGAGCAGACAGAACCCTGTACACTGCATCAACCCACTCTGCAGAAGGAGCTTTACTCTGTCTCTAAACCATGTTGTGGCTGACCTGGCAGTGTGGACAGGCAGTGTAGTGGGAACCTTACTGCATCTCTAACCTGTGCTGTCACTGACCTGGGGAGTGAGGACGGACAGTGTAGAGGGAGCGTTAATCTTGTCTCTCTGTTGTGGTCCTGCCTTGAGATTGCCTGTGAGAAGGGCAGAGGCTGTGTGACTGAGGCTGCAGTTTCTGTCTGTTTCTCAGATGAGAGATTCTCAGTCTTGATGTTGAGTGTGATGAGACGTCAAATACTGAGCAGTGTTGAGTTAGTCTCCTCACTCCCTCAGCCATCTTTCCAATACATTCCTCTCCGGTCCCATCTGCTCCACTATTAACAAGGTCCAAATGATTCAAAACTCTGCCGCCCGCGTCCTCACCTGTACCAGGCTCAGCGCCCGCATCACTCCAGTTCTCGCCAGGTCTCACCGGCTCCCTGTTGCAGAACGGATCGATTTCAAGATGCTCGCTCTCACTTTCAAGTCTCTTCACGCCCTGGCACCTCCCTACGTCTCCGACCTGCTCACATCTCACTCCTCTGCTCACCGCCTTCGCTCAGCTGGCTTGGGTCTATTGCATGTCCCTCGGTCCCTGTGCTCCACTACTGGCGGCTATGTTTTCAGCCGCTACACCCCGAATCTCGGAAACTCCTTGCCGCAATCCCTCCATCTTGTCCCCTCTCTGCTCATCTTCAAATCACACTTGAAGACTCTCTTCTGTGACGGGGGCTTTCAGTCACCTTTCCTCGCTTTTCAGCTCAGCCTCAATTCACACTACTGTTAAGCACTCCGAGACTCAAGCCAGTTGAATAGTGCTCTATATAAATGTAAGTTGTTGTGGCGGGGTGGTGCTGTGTGGGTGCTGTGTGGGTGGGTGCTATGTGGTTGGTGGGTGGTGGGTGCTGTGTGGGTGCTATGTGGTGGGTGCTGTGTGGTGGGTGCTGTATGGGCCCCTCGCTCGCCACCTTCAAGACCCATCTCAAGACCCTCCTCTTCGACCGTGCTTTCGATCTCCCTGCTTCCCCCCTGCCCTCCACCCTCCCCCACCCCGACCCTCAGCTCGGGTCCGTAACTCTGTCTGCCCAGCGCCTTGGGACGTCCTCCCGACGTGAAAAACGCTATACAAATGCAATTTTGGTGGGTGCTGCGTGGTGGGTGCTGTGTGGTGTGTGCTGTATGGTGGGTGCTGTGTGGTGGGTGCTGTGTGGTGGGTGCTGTGTGCTGTGTGGTGGGTGCTGTGTGGTGGGTGCTGTGTGATGGGTGGTGTGTGGTGGGTGCTGTGTGGTGGGTGCTGTGTGCTGGGCGCTGTGTGGTGGGCGCTGTGTGGTGGGCGCTGTGTGGTGGGCGCTGTGTGGTGGGTGCTGTGTGGTGGGTGCTGTGTGGGTGCTGTTTGCTGTGTGGTGGATGTTGTGTGGTGGGCGCTGTGTGGTGGGCGCTGTGTGGTGGGTGCTGTGTGGCGGGCGCTGTGTGGTGCGTGCTGTATGGTGTGTGCTGTGTGGTGTGTGCTGTGTGGTGTGTGCTGTGTGGTGTGTGCTGTGTGGTGGGTGCTGTGTGGTGGGTGCTGTGTGGTGGGTGCTGTGCGGAGGATGCTGTATGGTGGATGCTGTGTGGTGGGTGCTGTGTGGTGGGTGGTGTGTGGTGGGTGCTGTGTGGTGGGTGCTGTGTGGGTGATGTTTTCTGTGTGCTGTGCGGTGGGTGCTGTGTGGTGGGTGCTGTGTGGGTGCTGTGTGCTGTGTGGTGGGTGCTGTGTGGTGGGCGCTGTGTGGTGGGCGCTGTGTGGTAGGCGCTGTGTGGTGGGCGCTGTGTGGTGGGCGCTGTGTGGTGGGTGCTGTGTGGTGAGCGCTGTGTGGGTGCTGTTTGCTGTGTGGTGGATGCTGTGTGGTGGGTTGTGTGTGGTGGGTGCTGTGTGGGTGATGTTTTCTGTGTGCTGTGTGGTGGGTGCTGTGTGGTGGGCGCTGTGTGGTGGGTGCTGTGTGCTGGGCGCTGTGTGGTGCGTGCTGTGTGGTGGGCGCTGTGTGATGGGTGCTGTGTGGTGGGCGCTGTGTGGTAGGCGCTGTGTGGTGGGCGCTGTGTGGTGGGCGCTGTGTGGTGGGTGCTGTGTGGTGAGCGCTGTGTGGTGGGCGCTGTGTGGTAGGCGCTGTGTGGGATGGGTGCTGTGTGGTGGGCGCTGTGTGGTGGGTGCTGTGTGGGATGGGCGCTGTGTGGTGGGCGCTGTGTGGTTGGTGCTGTGTGGTGGGGCTGTGTGGTTGGGGCTGTGTGGTGGGGCTGTGTTGGCTGGTGCTGTGTGGTGGGGCTGTGTTGGCTGGTGCTGTGTGGTTGGGGCTGTGTGGTGGTGCTGTGTGGTGGGCGCTGTGTGGTGGGCGCTGTGTGGTGGGCGCTGTGTGGTGGGCGCTGTGTGGTGGACGCTGTGTGGTGGGCGCTATGTGGTGGGAGTGAGGGTGCTGCTGGTAATGATGGGCGCTGGGAGGCAGTGAGAGTGAGATGAGCAGTTTATTAAGAGCAGCACTGGGTGGGGTTAATGAGGGCTGCCGGACGAAGGACGTACACCTCCACCTCACACAGCGTCAGGATGCCCTTTCTGGGCAGCAGGATGTTCACATAGCGGCCGAGCATCCCTCGGCAATTGATGGTCTCCGTGGCACCCACAGCAGCCGCACCCACCGTCCCACACCTGCAAAACACCAACACAACAGCCATCACCAGCGGCCACTAAACGGGGCAGAGCGTACGGTGAAAATAATGCGGTTCATTAAAATAATGTAGTTACTGGTGGAGGTCGCTCAATCCACGGTTGTTTGTGGGACACCAGCTCTGCCCAATCGGCTGCCGAGTTTCACCCACAAAATACGTGATAAGGCGCAAAATGAAATGCAAGGATTATTATTATTATTATTATTATTCAGATACCGACACAGTCACTGGTAATGTTACTGGCACACGGGCACAAACACAGAGAGAGGCACCGAAACAGGCACTGGCACCATCACTACATCTGATACTGGCACAGACTGTGCTGTATGGGGGTTCAAGCTCCCCCCTCACCCACCACCACCCCACCACCACCCACCGGGACTTGAACTCACATAGTCTAGGCTGACGCTCCAACGGGTGGGTGGGTGGGGGGGGGCGGGGGTGTGGGGTGGGGGGTGCAGCATTGTCAGAGTTGCCATCCTTTGGATGAGATGCTAACCCAAGGCCCTGTCTGTACCTGTTCAGGTGGACGTTAAAGATCCAACGCGACGCTATTCGGAAGAGCGAGGGGAGTTTGTCACTCACAGGGAGTTGTTGTTGCCATTGTTGCTGGAGGAGATGCCCACCCTGACCTGGGCCCCCAGCAGCCGTTTGGAGCAGCAGTCGATGCGGTTGTAGAGTTTGACGGAGATGATCTGCTCGCAGTGGAGCAGGTCCACCTGCCACCAGGGCATGGGGTCGGTGTTGGTGTGGCTGCAGGAGTTGTTGTGGTAGAAACCGTTTCTGTTGCCATCGATGGCGCGTTCCGCCTTCCCGCCCCAGTTGGTGGTGGACTGGCTGGCGATGCCCCGCCTGGCCACGTTCTCTGCCGCCAATCAGGATCAGCGTTACATTAGACCCAATCCCACACCGTGCCGTATCGTCTCATCCGCTCCCTCCAGCCTGCTCCATGTCCCCCGCCCTCACCTTCCCATCCCACCATCAGAGGTTCAGGCCTTCAGCCTCTCTGCCTCCACCCTTTGGAACTCCATCCCACGGTCCCTTCGCCTTGCACCCTCCCTTGCCTCCTCTCAAGACCCTCCTACTTCTACCCTCCCTGCCCTCTCCACCCCTCCTGATCCAAACCCCCAACTTTGGTGCAAATCCTTGACTGTCCAGCGCTGAGACATCCTCCCGTGGAAGGTGCAGTGCAAATGATGTTGATCAGCCCTGCCCAGCCCTAACCAATTCTCAGAGCAAGCTGTCCATTCAGTCCCACTGCCTCACCCTGTCTTCCCAAACCCCTCAAAGCCTCTATCCTTCACATTAGCTCCCTCTTGATATGAACAGCAACAACAACAACCACAAAATTACATTTGTATATGTCTCAACAACAACAACAACAAGATTCCATTTATAAAGCGCCTTTCACGTCAGGAGGACGTCCCAAGGCGCTGCACAGTTGGGTCAGGACCCGAGCATTGGGGAAATGGTCAGGGTGAGGGGAGGGAAGGGAGGGAGCGAGGAGGGGGAAATGGTCAGGGTGAGGGGAGGGAAGGGAGGGAGCGAGGAGGGGGAAGAGAGTCAAGAGGGGAGCTGAAGGCTCGGTCAAAGAGAAAGGTTTTGAGACCGGCCATGAAGGAGGAGAGGGAGGAAGCAAGGCGAAAGCACTGGGGGATCAAGACCCTCATCATTGCGCACACCTCTATCAGGTCCTTTCTCAACCTTTTCTGCTCCAATTAAATCAGACCCAACTTCTCCAGTCTCTCCTCATAACTATATCCCCTCGTTTTCAGTACCATTCTTGTAAACCTCCTCTGCTACAAGGACAGCTTGCATTTATATAGCGCTCTTCACCCAGGGCAGCGTCTCGGAGCGCTTGACAGTGGCGGAGCCTGGAGTCGAGCCAGAGCGGCTGGGGTGAACGTAAGAGGAAGGTCTTCAGTCATGAGGGGAAAGAAGGGGGAGAGATACAGACACTGTGCGGGGTCGGGAATGTCGACAAGGTCGCTGTACTCACCGCACGGGGCTGAGAAGTGGAACAGTGTACACAGGGCGCACAGAAACAGCAGGTGATGTCTATTCATCCTATACAGAGAGTGAGTGTGAGAGAGAGAGAGAGAGAGAGAGAGGCAGGGTCAAGGGAGAGTGAGTCAATCAGGCACCGATGGCTATTCCCAAGTCCAGCCAAAGTTTCCCAGCTCTACGTCACCCGCCTGCGACTGATTGTGTATTGAGGGACATTGAGCTCACAGTCTGGACTGATCCTCCAGTGCAGTGCTGCGAGGAACGCTACATTGTCGGAGGTGCCGTCCTTTAGATGGGATGTTAAATGGAGGTCCCACCTGTGGGCTGTTCAGGTGGACGTTAAACCTGCCGCCGGGCCATTGAAAAGCAGAAGGGAGTTTTCTCTCTCCCGCTGCCCTGGTGACTGACAATCATTCAGATAAAAATGATCAATCGCGGCGCGGAGCGGGTGTGAGTGAGGTCTCAGTACAGAGTCGGTGTGAGCGCAGTCGCTGTGAGGAGCTCGTGCCGGTGCTCATTAAGTCACTCACCTGTCTTGAGTTTCCGATGCCCTGGGAGACGGCGCTGTGCTCTGACTTTATAGGCGAGCGATCTGACGTTAATATTAACAGGGGAGCCATGGTCACACGGCCCGCCCATCACTCAATCTGACGGCTTCTCTCTCAGCTGGCGGGCGGGTCGGGGGGCATGGGAGGGGGCTGCGTGGTGGGGGAGGCACATTTCATTAATGTTCCAATCCCACTGTTCTTATACCTGAGCGATTGTGTCTCTGGGAGTTTAACACTGCCTGATAGAATCTGAGAGCTCAGAAGAGAGGCCCATTCGCCGACGACAGCCAATGTTGTACAAGACACGTGGAGGCACGTAGCGTACTGGTTAGAGCGCTCGACTCGCAAGTGAGAGGAGCCGGGTTCGATTCCCTGTCAGGGCGATACCTCAGGGAAGTTTCCTTCATCCACACTCCTCTGTTTACCTGGCAGTAAATAAGAACCCGGCTGTTAGTCAACTGGCAGATTGCGTTCTGAGGGTAATAATCCCTCCAAAAAAATAACACTAATAATCCACGACTGTTTGTGGGACACTGTTGTGTGCAATTGGCTGCCACGTTTTGCCCATAAAATATACAGGCGATTCCCTTTACGGTATATTGTGTGAAGCGCTTTGAGACGTCTCAACGACGTGATAAGGTGCTATATCAAATGCAAAGATTATTATTATTATTAACAGTGCCTTGTATTTATACAGGGTGCATTTATCCTGTACTCCTCAGCGTCTCAGAGCACTGCACAATGGCTGAGTTGAACATGGAGAAAGAGAGAAGGGGATGCAGAGGTGATCTTTGGCATAATCGAAGGGGTAAGGTCTTAAAGTGGGATTTAAAATAAAGTGAAGGCGAGGTGGAGGGATTGAGGCAGCAAGTTTTGGAGTTGAGGGGTCTGTGGCTGAAGGCTTGGCCACTGATGGCATTGCTGAGGTGTCGGAGAAAAGTGAGGACTGCCTACAAACCATAATAATCCTTGCATTTGGTGCAGCGCCTTGTCACGTCGGAAGGGCGTCTCACAGAGCTTCACAGGAATTATTGTGAAATGGAGTCATTTTGTATTTGTAGGAAAACGTGGCAGCACAATTGCGCACAGCAACGTCCCACAAACAGCCATGAATTGAGTGACCAATTTTATTTGGGGGATTGTTGGCCAGGACACCTTCTCTTTTCAAACAGTGCCATGGGATCTTTATCGTCCACCAGAACAGGCACAGACTGGATCTCGGTTTAACGTCTCATCCGAAGGACTTCACCTCTGACAATGCAACACACCCCAGCACTGCACTGGAGGGTCACGTTAGACTGTGTTCGAGCAATGATTAGACAAGCTAAGGCTCTTCAGTCTTGAGAGAAGACATCTAAGAGAGGATCTAATAGAGACGTCCGGGATTAAGAAAGTAAGGCCAGAATGAGACTCCAAGATGCAGCAGGACAAGCGGACTCAGGGTCAGGGTGTGAAGCGCAATTTCAGACAGAGCGGGGGTGAAGGGGTTAAGTGACGAGGAGGGACTGGTGGAGGAGTTAGTGTGAGCTGATTGCCAACATAGGTGAGGTCACCTGGTAATGTTGCCCTTTGCTGGGTGAACCGATCGATCACTGAGAGCCCAGTCACTGGCATCGGGAATTTCCCAGGATGGAGTGAGGACAGTGAGGAACACGGGAGTGACCCGGATACTGGCAGGACACGGCACCCATACCGGCTCACAGCGCGGACACGTCCTGAACCCATGTGGGCAGGACACTGGCCAGCTCAGCGATGCCAAGGGCAAAGTGTTCCCCTCCCACACTCCACACTCAACTGCTTCAACCTCACAGTTCTCACGGGCTCTGGTTTCAGTCCTTTTCATTACCTGAACTGGACAATCCGGGAGTGAGGGTGGGGAGTGTTAGTAGGTGCGGAGTGGGGTGAGGGTAGTCTAGACACATTCAGTCTTGAGAGAAGACATCTAAGAGGGGATTTATATAATAATAATCCTTGCATTTGATATAGCATCTTATCAAATTATTAATATTATTTTTTATTATTTTTTTGAGGATTACCCCCCGGACTAATTGGATTAGTTTGTGTCCTCAGTGTCCTGTTTGACACTCAACTGTCCTTCATCCCCCATATCCGTGCCATGACCCACTCCACTTTTCCCCACACCTACAAATTGCCCGACTCTGCCACTGTCTCTCACCCCAGGCCGCTGAGACCCTCTATGCAAACTCCCTGCCTGTCAGCCTCCCCAACTCCTCTCTCCACGGGTTGCAGCTCATCCGCAACTCTGCAGCCCTTGTCCTCTCCCGCACCAGGCTTGGTGACCCTCTTATCCTCATCCTCGCCTGGCTCCACATCACTCAGAGAATACAGTTCAAGATCCTGGTCCTCACCCTCAAAGCCCTCCGTGGCCTTGCTCCTCCCTATCTCTGTGACCTCCTACCCCCCTACCAACCTGTTTACTCTCACCACTCAGCGGGCTCTGGCCTGCTTCACTTCCCCCGTCTTACCCACCCCACCATTGGCGTGCGGGCCTTAAGCCTCTCTGCACACCCTCTAGAACTCCCTCTCCCAGTCCCTCCACCGTGCCCCCTCCCTTGCCACCTTCAAGACCCATCTCAAGACCCTCCTCTTCAACAGCGCCTTCGGGCACCTTCCTACCCCTACCCTCACCGCCCTTCACCTCTCCTGATCCCAACCATCAGCTCGGGTGCAGATCCCTAACAGTCCAGCACCTCGGGACGTCCTCCTGACGTGAAAGTGCTATACAAATGTAATGTGTTCTTGTGGAGCAGTGAGAAAATGAATTGAGGTCCCCTTTTGAGCTTTGCAGAACCATGATTCCACACTTGGGGGCTCCACCACCATATCCTACTGGGTGGCCCAATGCTCAAAACACCGAGGTATTGATTGCAAGATACAAGGGGCATTGGTCCCAATGGTTGTTTCTTATCAGTATCTGGGAGTTGTGGCGAACTCCAACTCTTGCTTGGACACTGTCTCAAGGGACCACACAGAAAAGAGGTGAAGAGCTCTCTGGTCATGCTCATCTCTCTTCAAGGACAGTAAGGTCCCAACCCGGGTCAAGCTTGTGGTATAAAACAACAACAAACAATAATGTAGCATCGGGAGGACATCCCAAGGCGCTGGACAAGATGGATGGAGGAGGAAAGATGACTGAAGGCGCGGTCGAAAAAGAAGGTCTTGAGATGGGCCTTGAAGGAGGCAAGTGAGGCGGAAGGTGTCTGGGATTAGTCCCAGAGGGTGGGGGCAGATAGGCTAAAGCCCTGAGTGCAAATGGTGGAACAGGCAGGGTGGGAGACATAGAGCAGCCTGGTCCCTGCAGAGAGGAGGGAGTGCACAGGTTGGTGAAGCTTTCATAGATCACAGAGGTAGGAGGAGCAAGACCCCAAAGGGCTTTAAAGGTGAGGGCAAGGATCCTGAACTCAATCATCTGGAGGATGGAGAGCCAGTGAATCTGGGCAAGGATGGGGGTGATCGGCTCACAGAGTTTTGTTGCAGGAGAGGACATGAGCTGCAGTATTCTGAATAATCTGCATCTTGTGGAGGGAATAGTTGGGAAGCCCGGTGAGTAGGTAGATAGTATAGTCAAGCCTGGACGACCTGTAATCAGGGGAAGTGGAGCCCAAGTTAGGCAAGTTTCCTTACTTCACACACCTCTGTTTACCTCACAGTAAGTAGGAACCCGGTTACTAGTGGATTGGCGGATCGCTTTCTGCGGATAATGGTTTCTGCCAGTGCAGTTAGCAAGTGGCTGGTCTTCACAGATATTCCTTGACGCTAGGACACACTGTTGGCTGTCTAACAGTGTAGTTGCTGTGTGGGCAGCAGCTTCTACACTATAAACAACTTCATACCCTGAGGTGTTCACATTGTGTGATTGGCCATCTTCGGATACAAATAGCAACCATTAAGAAGGAGATAATAATAATAATAATAATAATAATCCTTGCATTTGATATAGCGCTTTTCACGTCGGGAGGACGTCCCAAAGCGCTTCACAGAACATACTGTAAAGTGAATTGACTGTATATTTGTGGATGACCAATTTATTATTGTTTTTGTTTTTTGGAGGGATTATTATTAGGCTCTGTGTGGAGTAAGGAAACTTGCCCAAGGTTTCGCCCTCTGCCGGGAATTGAACTCAGGTCTCTCGCTTACAAAGTGAGTGCTCTAACCACTGAGCTACAGGACTCTACAAGGTTGCATAAACCAATAATTAATCATTCTATAATAATTAAGGTCCTGTAAGCCAATATGTTTTCTAGACAAAGAACAAAGAAATGGATTGAGACTCGGAAAGCGAGGGGATTAATTGAGGTGTAACAACAACAACTTGCATTTATATAGAATTCCTCACTCAGGGTAGTGTCCCAGAGCGCTTGACAGTGTCGGAGCAGGAGAGGGAGTTGAGGAAATATTGTAAGAGGGAAATGACAGAGATTTGGGAAGTGAGGGGATGGGTTGAGATATTCTGAAACAATATTCTCAGAGAAGATCAGGGCAGCAGGTCAAGAGGACACGGTTTTTGGGGTCTGACTGGCAATTCGAGGACAGACACCAGGAAGTATCTGTCTACGCTGAGGGCGATTAATGACTGGGATAGGGTGGTCGAGGCCAGACAGTTGGAATCATTTGATAAACTACTTGACACTGTGGTTGCTGTGCGTGCAGGAAGGATTGTCAGGTGGGGATTCTAGGCAGGGTCTGGCGGGTGTTGAGATCAGATGGTCTGGCGGGTGTTTTTCTCTTGAACCTGTCTGGTGAGATCTAACCTCTTAAATAAAGGGTTAACTTAATCTGGGACTAGAAACATCTGAGCCAGAGGTCTCTCCAGTCCATGGTGTGTGGCGAACCATATGTACGTGGATTGGGTGTTACAGGTCCCTGAGCCCTGACCTTTCCCACACTCAGCTCAAGTCTTCCCAGCATTGTAGCCACTCAGTGATGTGTGGCTCACTGAGTGAGAGTGCCGGTCATCTCTGCCCTCTTACACGGTGCCAGTGATTTCTCTCCCATTGTACCTCTCCGCTCACACACGGACCTCGCTATCCACAGCGTGGCCAATGGCAGAAACTGTTCCCGTGGGAGAGA